TGTAGAATGTAAATAATATAGCGAGGCACTTTAAATTTAGGTTTCCTTTTTAAATAAACCAGAATTTTATCACATTTTGCCAATACCTGTTTCGTTTGTCCTAAGCCTCTGGGACTAAAACGAAACAGGTATGAATGAAATATTTTTGAAAATTCAGGACTATTCAAAATTAATCCCGTAGAATGAAAATAATATAGCGAGGCGCTTTAAATTTAGGTTTCCTTTTTAAATAAACCAGAATTTTATCATATTTTGCGAGTACCTGTTTCGTTTGTGCTAAGCCCCTGGGACTAAAACGAAACAGGTATGAATGAAATATTTTTGAAAATTCAGGACTATTCAAAATTAATCCTGCAGAGTGATAATAATATAGCGAGGAACTTTAAATTTAGGTTTCCTTTTTAAATAAACCAGAATTTTATCACATTTTGCCAATACCTGTTTCGTTTGTCCTAAGCCTCTGGGACTAAAACGAAACAGGTATGAATGAAATATTTTTGAAAATTCAGGACTATTCAAAATTAATCCTGTAGAATGTAAATAATATAGCGAGGCACTTTAAATTTAGGTTTCCTTTTTAAATAAACCAGAATTTTATCACATTTTGCCAATACCTGTTTCGTTTGTCCTAAGCCTCTGGGACTAAAACGAAACAGGTATGAATGAAATATTTTTGAAAATTCAGGACTATTCAAAATTAATCCCGTAGAATGAAAATAATATAGCGAGGCGCTTTAAATTTAGGTTTCCTTTTTTAATAAACCAGAATTTTATCATATTTTGCGAGTACCTGTTTCGTTTGTGCTAAGCCCCTGGGACTAAAACGAAACAGGTATGAATGAAATATTTTTGAAAATTCAGGACTATTCAAAATTAATCCTGCAGAGTGATAATAATATAGCGAGGAACTTTAAATTTAGGTTTCCTTTTTAAATAAACCAGAATTTTATCACATTTTGCCAATACCTGTTTCGTTTGTCCTAAGCCTCTGGGACTAAAACGAAACAGGTATGAATGAAATATTTTTGAAAATTCAGGACTATTCAAAATTAATCCTGTAGAATGTAAATAATATAGCGAGGCACTTTAAATTTAGGTTTCCTTTTTAAATAAACCAGAATTTTATCTTATTTTGCGAGTACCTGTTTCGTTTGTGCTAAGCCCCTGGGACTAAAACGAAACAGGTATGAATGAAATATTTTTGAAAATTCAGGACTATTCAAAATTAATCCTGCAGAGTGATAATAATATAGCGAGGAACTTTAAATTTAGGTTTCCTTTTTAAATAAACCAGAATTTTATCACATTTTGCGAGTACCTGTTTCGTTTGTGCTAAGCCCCTGGGACTAAAACGAAACAGGTATGAATGAAATATTTTTGAAAATTCAGGACTATTCAAAATTAATCCTGTAGAATGAAAATAATATAGCGAGGCACTTTAAATTTAGGTTTCCTTTTAAAATAAACCAGAATTTTATCATATTTTGCGAGTACCTGTTTCGTTTGTGCTAAGCCCCTGGGACTAAAACGAAACAGGTATGAATGAAATATTTTTGAAAATTCAGGACTATTCAAAATTAATCCTGCAGAGTGATAATAATATAGCGAGGAACTTTAAATTTAGGTTTCCTTTTTAAATAAACCAGAATTTTATCACATTTTGCCAATACCTGTTTCGTTTGTCCTAAGCCTCTGGGACTAAAACGAAACAGGTATGAATGAAATATTTTTGAAAATTCAGGACTATTCAAAATTAATCCTGTAGAATGTAAATAATATAGCGAGGCACTTTAAATTTAGGTTTCCTTTTTAAATAAACCAGAATTTTATCTTATTTTGCGAGTACCTGTTTCGTTTGTGCTAAGCCCCTGGGACTAAAACGAAACAGGTATGAATGAAATATTTTTGAAAATTCAGGACTATTCAAAATTGATCCTGCAGAGTGATAATAATATAGCGAGGCACTTTAAATTTAGGTTTCCTTTTAAAATAAACCAGAATTTTATCATATTTTGCGAGTACCTGTTTCGTTTGTGCTAAGCCCCTGGGACTAAAACGAAACAGGTATGAATGAAATATTTTTGAAAATTCAGGACTATTCAAAATTAATCCCGTAGAATGAAAATAATATAGCGAGGCGCTTTAAATTTAGGTTTCCTTTTTAAATAAACCAGAATTTTATCATATTTTGCCAATACCTGTTTCGTTTGTCCTAAGCCTCTGGGACTAAAACGAAACAGGTATGAATGAAATATTTTTGAAAATTCGGGACTATTCACAGTTAATCCTACAGAATGAAAATAATATAGCAAGGCGCTTCAACTTAACTTCTGAGCCACCAGGCTTTTATAAGATAACAAAGTCTGAATATGTTTATTTTAATTTAATTTTAATATTTTTTAATATATTGTTTCTACTTTTTTTAATTTTTTTTCTTTTATTCATGAAGTAGCAAATTTTAAACCAGAGCTTTATTAAGGATGTTGCCTCCTTCGGTTTGGAGCATTTTTTATTACGCAGCTGTACATGGCTAAAATGGGCCCTAAAAGTTCACGGAATTCTAAAAAGGTGTCGACAGCATCGTTTAGCCCTCAGGGCTCAGGGTGAACAATGAAATAGCCGCAGCCGGCGCTCGCACCTTTCTTGACCCCCTGCAGTGCATTTACAAAAGAGAATTTCACATTTCACTGCACTTTGCTTCTTCAAATTGCCTAATGAGATTCGCATTAGTCCTTTATGCCTGCGCGTATGATTTTTTTTAAAAAAGACCCTTACCTCGGAATTAAAAAACAAGAGTTGCATTTTTGAACGCCTCGTCAAAAAATGAATAAAATAAACTTTGAATGGAAGTTCTACGTCAATTAGAACAAAAGTTCATCAATTATACAATTCCACTGGAATGATTTTATTTATCTACCATTAGTAAAAATTTATTTTTCGTAAGAAATAGGGATGCAACAGGGGCTTAAAATATTATATGTATAATACAAGATAATTTTTAAAATCCAAGTTATTTTTTTATTTAAATGCAAGTTTATGAAAAAATAGAAAGTAATGAAATGCTTGACGCAAAGAAAATAAAACCCCCTTTTTTCCAAGCACTTTATTCTTTTTGTTTCCCATTTCCCATGATGTGATCAGAAAGGGAAACATGGAAAGACTGACCACCAGTGACACCCAAAAAAGGTGGAGAATGATGAAATTTGCCATCGAAGGCGTGTTTCAGCTATATATGACTCATTTGAGCAAAGGAAGCAATTAGATTATAACCAGAGGCTAAGTTCAAGCAGACCCTATAGCATTCAGAATATCACAGAAGTTTCCATTATAAGAAACAAAGCGTTTATATAGGTGATGGTTATTTTACGATCGTGTGATTCACTAATGTGCGAAGAACGCATTTTATATAATTTCTTGGTATTGGAGAGTGATTATGGGACCCCACAGTCCGACCTCATCGAATTGGCTGCAGAATGCAATATCTATAACATATCTACAGCACAAGTGAAGTAATTGAATTGTTATGTGCATAATTGATGGTCACCTAAAAAATAATGAGTTTTTGGATCGTGATATTATGTAAGTAAAAATGATAAAAAAATTCCTTTTATTCTTATGATTTTAAATTAAATTTGATTTCACCCATTGAAAATATCACAAATATATAAATCATAGCAGAGGAGGCACCCGCGCGACAGAGAACTACTGCAATACCTCTAAACTCTTAAAATTTTCAATTTTTATAAATAATTTTATTGCTTTTTTGATTAATAACAGTATAAATTGCATTCATTTCAGAGTAATAAGTTTAGTTCTTTTTTTTTTAAATCATTCTTTGTGCATTGAACATATATATAATTGAATTTAAAATTACTAATATTTAATATATTAAGTGCTTGATATTATCATAAATATGTTAGTTGAGGGTTAGAAAAATAGTTCACAGCATAATTATTGTAATAAAAATTACCACATTCTTCAAAAAGAAATAATACAAATATCACTGAAATAAATTAGATTGAAGTTAGGAAAAAACCCAATTTACAAAAATTTGACATATTTTGAACGCTTTTTTCAAATACTTCTGCTCAACTCTTTGGAGTGAAATATGATTCATCCACTAGATAATTTTATTAGCTGCATTTTAGAGTTGCTAATTTTTTCTTAATTATAATCAGTTTTGCAGACGGCCTTATTAAATCCAAAAAATGCAAGTTTTCGGTTGGCAAAAGCAGCTCAAATGGTAGGCTGGCCACTTCTTCAGCCAAGAGTTACTTTTTAGAAATATCAGAAGTTTGAGCTCTGCTGATAATTTTGCCACGGGGCAGGTAAATGCATTGATGCGAGAAATCGGAATGAAAGAGAATATGAGCCTGTCCAGTGGCTATTATGAAGCGCACCACAGGGGTCCTCCTTCCTCTCCCCCATCACTCACTCTCTTGGGAAAGACACTTGATTTTGACCAAATTTTATCATTTTTTAATACTTATTGAGGTCGTCAGACAAAAGTATGAATGAGAGGACAAAATAAAAATTACTAAAAAATAGTTAGTTAAATTATCTAGTGGATGAATGGTTTTAAAAATCGAAGCGTTAAGTAGAAGTTTATGAAAAATGCATACAAAGTTTATTTGATTATTAAAAATTTCACCAGCTAAATTTGAAGAAACTTCAAATTTTTTTATTTATTTGATGCTTTAAGTTTTATCATTATTGATTGTACTCATCCACTAGAGTATATATTGACCTATGCGCTGATTTTTACCAAACGATTCTACGATGAGCAGAACGAGAGATTCACTTAAAAAAAGTTCAAAACTTTGGACTGCTCTAGTTTCACTAATTACCTTTTCCACGCAAAAAAACCTATCACAACTTGCTCACAATATAATGCGCATTAAAAATATATACTTAAAAGTGATTTAAATATTTCATATATATGCGAACTCGCACCACGGAAAATCAGTAAAAATGTCTACATCAACCTTAACTTGTTCTAGGGCCACATGAATGGATTCAACGGCCAAGTGATGCACAACAACAGCCCTCACAATCAGCAGAACCCCGAGCCAGACCCAAGCTGGATCACGGATCAGATGATCGCTCAGTATGCCCCTCAAATCGACCAAGTCGACAGCCCATACTACTACGAGCACAACAAATTGCTGTTTGCACTGTACCTTGAGAGACTGCAGAGAAACCCTCAGAATAGACCCCTGTCTTGAAAGCTATAACTTTCTCACTTCAATCATTTAGATGGCTCTCTACAGTTTTGGTAACTTTCGGCCAAAAAAAATATTATTAAAATTTTTACTTAAACATTCATAATTCGTTAAAAAAAAATTACGCACTTAAAATTATAATTAGTAAGTAATGAAAGAGTCACTTTGATTTTTATTTTATTTTAGAGCACTAAGAGCCACTAAAACTTAATAATAAACTGCCGACCCTGATACGAAAGCCAACTGAGAACACTGAGTGTGAATAATATCTTAGTGAGTGACTCGGCGTGAATGCATTAAAAGTGTTAATTATTCGTTGATAAGTGTGATTATAGCAGGTTAAGAAAATGTGATTTTGATGAGTAAGAAAAGTTAATATCCAAAGCTAATAAAAATATGAAAAATATTTTAAATTTTTATCTGCTACTGAGTGTACCGAAAAGACAATGTTTTTAAATCAATAGAAATGTTATTGATTTGCTTTTTTTTATTATTATCCGTATTTTCTGGAACACCAAGAAAACTGGGGAAACAATAAATTTAATCGCTTTGGTTACACTGACAAAGTATAAAAAATTTTAAGGGCTGAAAAGTGCATTTTAAAAGATGAGTAAAAGAATGACAATCATATGACAGTGATAAAATTTTTTTATTGTCTTTGTGTATGAAGTGGTGTTGCTTGGTTATTATTTGCATTTTCCAGCTTTGTCGCAGTGAGAGGGAAGGGGGATTCAATTTTTATTCCTCTTTTTTCATGTAAACCAGTTTCTCTTTCATTCATAGGTGCTGCGAGTTTGCAGCCCCCACTATGAGTCCAATTCGTAGCGCACCATATGAATGGGATTGTGCAACCTGGTGGGGGCTGCATCCCAACCACCACCTCCAACCCAGACGGCACTGGCAGGGGGGCAGACACGGTGTCTGGCGGCGGCGGGCCAGACGAAACGTACGCGCTCCTCTCCCTCGCCATCTATCAGCCACAGGTTGGAGCATCAAAAATATTTCCCTGGCGTCCTTTTCACGTGTGTTGACGCGAGAGTGCGTTGACCGTGAGTTCAAGCACCAGCCACCGTTGCCGCCGTTCGCCACCAGCGGCCGTGAAAGCCAACCAAACTCCAAATTCTAGTGAAAAATCGAAAATAAAACTATGAAATTGGTCACATTTAGTGCTCAAGAAGGATAGGGGAGAGAAAACAGGGGTGAAAAAGTCCGAAACGCGGGGATGTAATTGACGAGTTTTGAATTTTGGCGCGCAAACGCGGCGCTGCGGCAACGCTGCCCCAGCAGGAAACAAAGGACGAGCGCAAGCGGAGTACAGGTGTTTTCGTCCTTGTTGTGTTGTCGACGCATAAAGAGCCTAATTTTGCTTTTGCTCGGTGGATTGGGGTGTTATGCCTTCTTGGCCCTCAACTTGCGGCTTCTACACTAGGTAAGGCGTGCTCAAGACGCGGTTCGGCGGCCGAATAGGCATTGCTAGCGCTCGAAAGCGGCCGCCAGCCAGTGACCCTATTTGAGAGCACATAACGGAAGCACTCGAAGGCACTCAGCCACGACTTTAGTCTCACCGTCGGCACTCTCGGCCGAATCTAACGCACCCCTGCTCTTTTGTTGCAGATGATATTCGTCCCTGGGTCGGCCAAAATGACCATTGCCCCCTTCGAAAGGAGTCCGAGCATTTTCTGACGTAAGTAGGTCTGCGCTCACCCTCGCCCCCTTTTCGGCCGAATTCGTCCTTTTTCAAGGTCGCCGACTGGATTTTCGCCTGAATTGAGTTTCTGTATTATTCAATGGATCAAAGTACGTCAATTCGGGCAACTCAGAAATGAGGTCAGAGGTCCCTTTCTCTTTGCAAATCGCACCCCTTGGGACGTAAACAACCCCATAGGGGCGTGTTTGTTGTCCCTTCCGACCGGCCCGCGAGTCAACCCCAATGGAAAAACATGCGAGTTGGCACCTTTTGTGAATAATCTGTCTCACTTTCAGGCTTGGACCACTTTCCGTGCTACTTTCTATACTGCTGTGAACTCGATTTGTTTTCTCGGTAAGTGCACGACTTTGTCAAGTCTCGAGTTTTCTGCATGCCTCACATCCAATCACGCTGGGTCCGTTATCCCGTGTTCTTTTTATTTTTCCAAAGCACTGCTCTTTTACTGTTGACCACTTATTGGTGGTTGCGCTTTGCGACAATCCTTTGTATTTATTAAATTCGCTTCACTATAGGAACCCGCAGTGCTTACGTCGAAACGCATTCCTTCTAGTGCATGGTGAAAGTTCACATTAGTCCCGGCTCGTGTTTTACACTCCGTTAAGTGATGATTTGGTGGTGGTTTTTTTGTGCCGATGCCTCTTCAGTTAGTTATTTTTGTTTTGTGTATTTCTTTGCAGAAACCAGATTCGTAGGTCTCTGACCTACGAAACCAAACGTTACCACCATTGAGCCCATAGTAGAAGGTAATATCATTGATTTTGGTTCTACTTATTTTTTGGGAATCCCTGTTGTCGTAGAAAGTCACATTGCGTGTGTATTGTGCAAGAATTTGTTGCTGTGCGTTTTCCCGCACTTATAAATTATCACACGGCAAGCCTCGTCCACCAATTTGTCACTTTTGGTATAAAATAGTCAGTGTTAAATGAGTTGTATCTGTTAAGAAGTTATTTTTTTTATAAACTTATTTAAGTGTCATTTTTGTATTCAAATTTATTTGTTGAATTTGACTAAATTTTAAATTATTACAAAGATCAATTTTAACCGCATACCTGCTTCTAGTAACATTTGTGCCTGCTTTTTTTTATAATTATGTTTTTCCGGATTTATCAATTTAGGTGCCAAGTTTTTTTTTTGCAGAAGAATAACTGCAATACTTTTTTAAAGCTTGAAGGAACGCGAGGCAATTATGACTCTTAAAATGTTTGCTAATGCTTAGTAATTCTGTTCACAGAAGCCCAGTGGAGTGCGATGAATTTCACGCCCTTCACTGGCGCCTTCACTGGCACAATCCCAGTGCACCAGTTCACCGCTAAGTTTGCAAACGCCAATGGCCAGACGACAGTCCCTCCAGGCACGGTGGTGCTGAGTGGCGGCGATGGCGGCATCCACTACCTGCGCCCCACTGAGGTGGTCAGCCAGGCAGGCACCCTCACCAACCAGACGCTAATCACGGTGCCGGTCAGCATGGAGCAGTCCACCTCCAAGGAAGATTCCACGAGCACTGTCCAGGCACATAGCATCCAGCCCACAGCCACAGTGCAGGTACTAAAACTGACTTTGATTAGAGTTCACAGTTTTATTACAAAAGGGCTGCTTTAGTTGTAAATTTTTAATGGTTTAATTTTTATTTTTAAACGGTTGATTTTAAATTACGAAATATTGCTAACTTTTAGTGTTTTTTTTCACAATAATGTTTTTAATATAAAGAAAAATTAAATTTGTATGATTTGTTTTAATCATTTTTTAGAAGTCCTTGAAATCAATAATTATTGGTTATTTTTAAGAACTATAATCCTGTGCCATATTATGTGATTCCGTTACTATATGATTATTAATGCTGTCTAATGAAATTGTTAACGAAAAGAACTTCGATAACAATTTCTCCTTGCAGGTTTTGAACCACGCAGGCATCAAGTACAACATCACCCCCGTGTCCATGCAGCACTTCTCGCAGGTCGGCGGCCCCGGCACAGTGCTCACAGTTGCCTACCCAGCTGACCTGGACGGAATCACAGTTGACGGAAAAGGCACCCAGACCCAGATGATCCCTGTGGAGATCCAAGGGCAGGACCTGTGCGCCACCCTCGTTGTGGCAGCACCGTCAGGAGATGGTGATAAAGGTGAGCTTCAAATCAGCAGCTTCCCTCCGAAATGCTTGATTTGGCTGGGCGAGAGCAATTATTTTTTTTTCGTTGCTTTCTTTTGATTTTATCGGGATTTGTTTTTCCCTGCTTTCAGTACTTTTCCGGACACAGGACCAAGACGGGAATATTAGCGATGCAATATCCGGTAGATAATAATTTTTGTTTGGTTTCGGTTATTGGTTTTTGCTTATTCTCAATGCCTTTATTCACAAGCTCTGCTATAAAACAGCAGTCATTATTTTGAAATTTAGAATTAAAAATTTAAAACAAATCTTCAGATATAATTTTTACAATATTTTTTATTACCTTAAGTTAATTTTAAAATTTCCATGATTAAAAATTTAAAATATCATTCAAATTACCTATAATGTTTACCATTCAAACCATCCAAATAAGAATTGATTTTAATCCAAATTCCAACTTCTTTTACTTATCCCAATACTTTTTAGACAGGTACATGCATACAATTTAAAAAAATGTCCTTCAGTTTGGTCTCTGGCCCTATATTGCTCAAATACTACGCTTATTTCAAATTCTACAATTGAATTTCATCTCACTTAATTTTCGGTACTCCTTATTTTGACTGGCATAAATTGTACAAAATAATTAATTTTCACAATGTTGTTAAGAATCAAAGTCTCTAATGCAATTTACTCTTGACTAAAATCAAGAATTTTTGACAGGTATACCTGTTGAGAAGCTGATCACAATTAAGAGAGAGGAGGGTGTTGACGACGGCAAAGAGGGCACCGTCATCACCAGCACAGAGCAGCAAATTGAGCTTCAAGGTCAAACAGTCACCACCATGCCGGCCACGTGGCAGAGCATAGCTGCCCCTGGCTCGACGGTGGCCGACTACCTGGCGCGATTGCCAGCCTCCACCCTACCCCTCAGTTTGCACCACTTCCTCAAATTCTCGGCCGAGAGCATCAAGAGAGAGAACAATGAGGCATGCACCGTGACCTTGCCACCTGCACAACCCATCGTTGTCACCACCGTCAACGAGGCTGACGGCACCGAGGGCACTGTCACAGTCACAACTATGGCTGCCCCAGAAGGCGTGCAGGAGGAAGCCGATACGGCGGGCAAGGCCAAGAAGAGAAGGCGCGGCACCAAGAAGGCCAAGCAGCCCAAAATGCGCCCTGGCCAGGTGCAGCTGACCACCGCCCTTGACGGTACCACCCTGTTCTGTTGCCCAGAGTGCAACATGGCATACCCGGACAAAGATCTGCTTGAGCAACATCTTGTGGCTCACAAAATTGAGAGAAGGTGAAATAATTGCATCAAATATTAAGATCCATACTTATTTTTATTTAAATTTATCTTTTGCTTTTGAAATCTAGGATACTTGTCTAATTTAAACTTAATTAATATTTACATTTTAAAAAAAGTTTTGATTGAAAGAAAAAAAATAATGTCATAATTTGTCAAAAATTGTATCTATCTCTAAAAGCAATAAATTTTGCATTCAGGTTCATCTGCGACATTTGCGGGGCTGGCTTGAAGCGCAAAGAGCACTTGGACAGGCACAAGCAGGGCCACAACCCTGAACGACCGTTCATTTGCTCTGTCTGCATGAAGGGCTTCAAGCGCAAGGAGCACCTGAATCTGCACTTTGTCATCCACTCTGGCGAGAAGACGCACATCTGCCCTGAGTGCGGCAAAGGCTTTTACAGAAAGGACCACTTGCGTAAACACTCGCGCAGCCACTTGGCCAAGCGGATAAAGTCGGAAATGAACAGCGCAGGCAACACTGCGCCTAACCAGCCGCCACCGCCGCAGCTCAAAATCGAGGTGATCCAGCAAGTGCCGTCGGCGGACCCGTCCTCGCCCACTGAAGACCCCCTCAAGTTGATTCCGCTTGGTGATAAACTGGTGTAACACCCGCAGTGACGGACGGTGACTGACTCTCTCATCCAACAAACATACAAACAAACGGAAGGAACTGACGTCAAGTTAGCGTGCAAAGTTTGTCTATTTTTTGTTTAATTTGTATCGCAGGACCAGGCCGTCTTCTTAACGAATCTTTATAATGAATATAATTATATTATATATCTTTAAAGTTAGGGTCACTATGCTTTACAATGATTTTTAACTTAAAACACCAGGTCGCTTTGGTGGCAATTTGGCTCGCAGCTGGAGCGATCAGTTGAATCATGTCTGACGGCGTTAAATTTCCTGGGTCGTATTGCAAATCAAGTTAGTTGGTCTCTATAAATTTAGCCTTTCCTGCTACTTTAGCCTTGCAACAAGGTTGCTGGGCATGCAAGACACATGTATTTAATACACAAACAACGAAGACCCCCCCCCCCCATTAATTTTTTGCCAGAGAGTCCCCCCTCTCAGTAATTTGATTTCCTGGCTCGTCCTGGCTGTTTGAAAGAGACCGTAACATTTTTATGAATTACCTGACCAAATGTGATGAGAAGAATAATTCCATTGCCGACTCAGTCCTGATTCGACATCCAGCTTAAGAACTTTTGTTTTTTATGCTAAAAAAGCGACGGCGCCCATGTAATATGGGCATTACAATTAACTTTTTTTATTAATATTGAACAGAAAATTTACTTGCGATTGTTTTGTATAGTAGACATCCAGAGTTTGAAGAGCAGTGGTTTTAACACACAGCATGAAAGTAACAACTCACACAAACACTTACTTTTTTTTATTTTTCCATTGCTGTTGTCGACAAAATACAGCGTCCTGAAAAATGAGAAATATATCCACGAGTAATATAAATAAATATATTTATTGTAGTATAAAAATCAGATAATTACTAATATGGGCTAGACTGGTACTCTGGGTTTATATTTTTAATAATTGATAATTAGGTGTTGTGACACTGCAGCAGTCTTATTTTACTAATGGTGTACCAGTATTAAAGCTGCCTGTTTGTTCATTCGTACGTACCTTTCATCAAGTGTGTCAAGACAAAATCTTATTTAATGGAGAACAGCCAACGCATTTTTTACTTGTTATATATGTTCACAAATTAAAAAAAAAAACAGCAATTCTGGCAATCCCTTTTGTACGTAAAACACTGCTAAGCCAAATAGTTCATTGCAAATGTTGTCTTGACCTGTGGCTGTTTGCGACTTTGAGTTTAATGGTCAAAGTGTAGTTTATTATTAATTTTCATTAATGGACTCCTTGATGCTGCATTGTGCGCCGTTCTAAAAAAGAAACAAGTTCAATCCGATACAACGGATGCTATCGTTGTTTTTCCAAGAAAAAAAATAATAGTTTGTTAGTGTTATTTTTAAAAAGAAGCAAAATAAGTGAATTATAGAAGATTGAAGGTTGAGTTGATAATAACTCCATTGATTAAAATTTGAACGGAAAAGGTCTTGTCTCTCTTGCATAATAGTTAATATATTGAGTTGTTGTCAAATCTTTGTTTTGGGATTCATGCATTTTTATTATTATTTGAGATGAATAAATTGACATTACATTTTGAAACTGTTGCATTTTTTTAAATTGATTTGCACAAGATTTGTATATTGACAAGGGCACCCCTTGCTACCCCCTGATAGTTTTCATCACCCTCCAACAGAGGCGCCTCATCCACCCCGAAAAAAATAGACGTGATTTTAGTCGTTCTATTGTGGCACCTGCTTGGCGGAGGGTGGACACCCATATTTTTTCCAAGCATATTTTTAATTTTGTTGAAGCATTAATAAAGCGATCATGAACAGTGCAACCGTCTCAGGTTCTTATCCAACTACCCTGCCGCCAATAGCACATTTGTCTAACGATGAGATCTCACACATCAACCCTAATAACACACTTGAGGGCAGTGAATATCCTGATGATCCTCATTACAACAACCAAAACCTTTTGGTATCAGTGCCAATCAACACGTCCCATGGTCAGATTGCAACACTAGTCACAATAAACCACTTTCCGCAAGTAATTCTAATTATAAAGTTTTACTTTAATTGTTTTTTTTTAGCAAAAGAATTTTTAATTTACAAATCTCATATTTTTTGCAGTTAAATCAAGAGATTCAAATGCCTCAAATGTGCCAAGTACAAAAAGGACCTTGTTTCAATCAACAAGCACATATGCCTACCTTGTGGCCAACAAGTAGTGCTCTCACCACTGGTTCCGATGTTGCAGATATTAACAACGCATTGCGGCCACCTGGCTCCACATTACCAATTGGTTTGCACCACCTTCTGAAATATTCTGCGCCACTGGAAAATGCAACTGTTAAAAAAATTCACCAGCCGGAAAAAATTTGTACAAATCAGGTCCAATAAAAATTTTCAACCCCAATATAAACTAATTAAAAATAAAAATATTAGGTCAAGAAAAGAAAAAAGAAAAGAGTGGCCACTAAAGACGCAATAGAGTGTACCAAACCAGGAGAGATCAGAGTAACGACCGCTCTTGATGGAACTAGACTATTCTGCTGTCCGGAGTGCCAAATGGGTTACCACGAAAGGGAGTTGCTGGAGCAGCACCTGTCAGGTCACAAGTTGGAGCGGCGCTTTATGTGCGACATCTGCGGTGCTGCGCTAAAGCGTAAGGACCACCTGACAAGGCATAAACAGAGCCACAACCCTGAGCGTCCTTTTGTTTGCACAATTTGCAGCAAAGCTTTCAAGCGAAAGGAGCAACTAACACTGCACTTTGTCATACATTCAGGCGAAAAACGGCACATTTGTCCGGAGTGCAATAAAGGCTTTTATCGGAAAGACCATTTAAGAAAGCACACAAGAAGTCATATTTCGAGAAGGGTCAAAGCTGAAGTTTCTAGACAGTTAGGAAATAACAACGTCCCATAGTAAGCAGCATTTTCAAAAGCTTTCACAGTAATTTAAGAATCATAAGAATTGCATGACGTTTTTGTTACGTTTTTACTATACACATGATTTTTGGTTGTGCGGAATATTTAAAAGTATTTTTTTTAATATACCTATCATTATTTATAAAAAAGTTGATTCATTTTAAATATTAAAACATCCAAGGCTGAAGGTACTCATGATGAAAAAAGATGTATAAACACTATGAATTTATGGTCCTCCAGTCTTATTGAACGGGACAACATAATTATATAAATTACCAAAGCAAGTGCCATGTAATAAGATGTAACAATATATTTTGGAGTTTGGAGCCTTCTAGAGAGTGATGATAATAAAATAATGCTGTTCAACATTAGATGCAAAGCAATTATTTTGAAGCAGTGTGTAGTTTTGTATGGATATACAAAAATCTATATAAATTTAGGCAACTAAAATAAGCAAAATTGCAAAAAAATTATTTGTGTGCATGTGTAGCGTAGCACAAGAAGAAACTTTTTGGCGTAGCTGAAAGTTGCACTTCAATATTTATTGTTATGGACTAAAAGTCTGTAACTGTTTAAATCAGTCAAATAAAATAAATTGATACAATTTTCTTAGTTGTGAAAATATTCCCGAGTGAAATGCCCATCTTTGTTGGATTAGTCGTTCCGACTGCTTCAAAAGCGTATGGCAATACTTTATTAATGTACATTCACAAAATATCTACAAATAGAAAAGTTTTTGGACACAACCAAATGACTGTGAGAATACAAATGAGTGGGGGATCAATTGTCGATCGTAAGTCACACTGGAGCCGACAATAACGAGAGCGTGGCACCTTCGAGGTTGACATTCTGCAGAGTGGAGCCCATGGATACCATGGCTGCCAGTGAGGCCACCGTTGCCTGGTTCGGTGTCGGTGGACTCTGTTCGGTCTTGACTCTTTTGGCCACGTGAGAACGCAGGTGCTTCCGGAGGTGGTCTTTTCGGTAGAAGGATTTCCCGCACTCGGGGCACACCTGAGACTTCTCTCCAGAATGAATTATTGAATGTCGAGCAAGGTGCTCATTTCTTTTGAATCCCTAGAAAAATAATAAATATTATGTTAAAATTGTATGTTTTAAATTTTTGTCTTTATTATTTGCACTTCACCTTCATGCAAACGGCACACACGTAAGGCCTGTCTGGGTTGTGTCCCTGTTTGTGCCTGTCCAGATGATCCTTGCAGTAAAAGCCTTTCCCACACTCAGGGCATATGTGCGTTTTTTCTCCAGAGTGCATGACAAAATGCAGATTAAGGTGCTCTTTGCGTTTGAAGGCCTTCATACAAATATTGCAGACATACGGTCTGTCCGCGTTGTGGCTTTGCTTGTGCCTTGTTAGGTGGTCCTTTCTCTTAAGGCCAGCGCCACAAATGTCACAGACAAACTTTCGGTCCAGCTTATGGGATTGGATGTGCCTCTCCAGCAGTTCTTTCTCTGGATAGGCCAATTGGCACTCTGGACAGCAGAAAAGGGTTGACCCGTCCAAGGCAGTGGTCAGGCGAATTTCGAAGCTTTTGCTTTTTTCCACCTTCGGCCGGAACTGTTGCTGCTGCTTGACCTGCACCTTGCTCTTGGCACTGCCTTTTTTCTTGACGGATCCTTGCTGGTTTAAAACCTGTCCCACGTCTCTCGTCGATCCACCTCCATCTGTGGACAGTTTCAAAAAGTGATGCAGTCCAATGGGCAACCTGGCCAAGTAGTCTGCAACACCAGGGGTGACTAGCCCCTGCCAGGTAACGGAAGAGTTGTTGCCCGAGTTGCTAGTTCTTGAGTCCTGTTGAGACCTCAACTGGTTTTTGTTCTGTTCATCAGCGTCTTCATTCATCATCGAGTATTGTCTATTAGGAGTGTTGGGGCCCTCCAGGTAGACGGTGTGGGTTAGTTCGGAGGTCATGTACTTGCTGTCGACCAGGTCGTCAGACTCGTCCACAGGGTACTTGCTGGTCATCTCAGTCAACATGCTTGGAGTGTTGTTGGTTGCATAGTCCGTCTGCTGCGAAGACTTTATCACTTGTTGGTGCAACTGGTGGTGCCCGCCGAAGTTGGCGGTGTACGTCGGGAAGTTGAGGGACATGGTGAACCTGAAAAAGCGCGTTGTTTTAGCAAACAATTTGGAGAAAGGCCCTGACCTTCAGTTACGAACCTCGTTTAATTCACCAAATTCGGGTGTGATCGCACGAATGGAAATTTCCGGAAGTCGTCGTTGCGGCAGTAGGGCTGCACGACCCTCCCGATGGCATTTTCAGATCAAAGCCACACAATAAATTCCAAATTTGCGAAAAATTCGCTTTTATTTTCGATGGAACAAGAGTTCGCCGGGCGAGAGTCAACTGTTGTCCCCCCACCGCCCTCCGCCATCTCGTATCTCGTATCGTAACTGGTTGCCTAGCAACCTTCAATGGAGCGCCTGCTATAAAAGAAACAATGTAACAATAACAAACGTAAACGTTGAAAATACGATCACATTTCTTAAAAAAATGTTTTCAACAAAAAAAAAGCACTTTTTGAACAAATCTGAAGTTCTTTCTTTTTAAGTAAATCATTTTGTGAAAATATTTATGTCGTTGGCCGCCCTGTATAAATTCACAGCGCCTCTTCCGTACAATTTCGTAAGTTTTTCGACCACATGCCCATCCTGAAGTAGACGCGTGTCGAGTTTTACGGCGTGGTCATCTATTTAGACAAATAAATCATGGTAAGAAAGTATTTCAATGGATAATTACTATCACAATTTGTTAAGCAACTAGATTTTTACATTATTTAACAAAATTAATCTGTACATAACATGGTTTGGCCTTGTAAATGGCAATAAAGGTAAGCAAACTGTACCATGCCGCAGGCCGCCATCGTCCATTTTTCTTGTTATGGCAGTGTTTTTGATTGAAATATTTTTCTGACTTGTCAATGACAGTCTTTCGATAGAGTTTAGTTTATGATATTTACCTGAAATCCTTGCTGAAAGACCCCTAATGATGCCATCTAAATTCCAATTATAACTCATTAATTTAAGCAAAATACAATAATATGTTATGTTGAGCTGTGAAATCAATTTTTCAAATTGATTTCTGAATTTTAGTTCTTTCATTTTTAATTCTATATAATTCATGCTTAAATCTTTCTTTAATTTAAATTTTAGGGCAAGGTTAAGTGCTCGGAGCTCCGAACAAAGGAGAAGAAGGAACTGCTGAAGCAGTTGGAAGAGCTGAAGACAGAACTCACCAACTTGCGAGTGGCCAAAGTTACTGGAGGAGCTGCTTCCAAACTTTCCAAAATGTAATTTATTTATCAAACGTTATAATAAGCTATGAAAACTTAATTCGAATTACTAAATGATGATTAGAAATTTGGGTAATTTGCGTCTGTAATAATTTTGATGAAACTTTTTCTGTTTAATCTGAGATTTAAAAAAAAATGGAATTAGAGTAACGGAACTTTGATAGAGAGTATTAATTAAAATAATTTGTTCTTTCAGCCGTGTGGTCCGCAAAGCTATTGCCCGCGTGTACATTGTTATGCACCAGAAGCAAAAGGAGAACTTGCGGAAATTGTACAAGGTAACACTATTGAGCAGAAGCATTGATCATTTTTATAAATTTCATCGCATTTCATTTTAAAATTGCAGGACCGCAAATACAAGCCCCTGGACTTGAGGTCAAAGAAAACTCGCGCTATGCGCCGCGCCCTGACCAAGCACGAGTTGAAGCTGAAGACGAAGAAGCAAATTTGCAAGCTCCGCAGATACCCTACCCGTGTTTTTGCAGTCAAGGCTTAAATAAATTAATCTTGGTTTATAAATATAATTCTGAAGTTTTCAATGTATTGATTTCCACATTCAAGGATGTACAAAATATTATTCACTCCATTAATGATTTTTGGAAACATTATACCCTACCACCACCTTCAGGCGACTTTTTGGGAGGGTGGGGGCCCAGGTCTAGCAGTTGTTACGTTGGCAACACTGGTTGACCTCCCCCTTCTTGACTCCCCCTACCCCTCCCTAGTCTGTTTTCTGATTGCCGATTGGTTTTCTGTCCCAGTGCCACAGACAAATTTTTGAAAACAAAAACAAACGTGATAATTCATCAAGTTAATTATTATTTTGGGCTAAAATCCTGTTTTTGAAAAAATCTTTTGACTAACCCAAGTAAGTGATGATTTAAGATTAATTTGTAATTACCAGCCTATTATTAAGTTAACATCAATTTCCAGAATTTAATCTGCAGAAATGGATAGCAAAGCACAGCAGCGACTCATTCAGGAACATCTTCGAGAGGTGAAAGGCTCAATCAACCTCTTATTCCCTATGATCATTTGCTGCAAAGATGAGTTGAATAAACTGGCTCTGCAGGAGATGGCCATTAGGTCAGCAGTCCGAGATAAGATGCAGAGTGAGAATTTAAAAATTGAGCTACCCGAGGAACAAGAGAACCCTCAAGACCAAGTGGCAGAAAATAATTTGCCAGACCTTGATATGATTTTGGGAACAATGAATGTGCAACCATCCACTTCAAATCAGAGGGAGAGTGATGATAGTAGAGTAAAATACGGAGAATATTTGACTTTGGATCCAGATGTAGCAATAGTAGAGTGTTCAAGTGGTGAAGAGGAGGATGACGACAATGAAAGTGATGATGAAGCTTATGAAGGTCAAAATGACCTTTCAGAGGGAGAATGTGAGAACATTCTGTTAGAACAGTAATTGACAATATATTTACCAAATTATGCAAATGTTTATCGTAATAATACAAATTATTCAATTTAAAATTAATAAAAAGGATAATGAAGAATTAATTGATCAATTGTACCATAATGTAATAAAAATTAAGTTGTATACTGACTGAATTAAAATAAAACCATTGCCTTACAAAAATTTTTATATTGTCGTGATAGTTGATATGTACGTATAGAAAGTGAAAATACAAATCTTCGAATGTTAGGAACTAGTTCATTATATCTTGGAATGGCTTGATTTCTTTGCTAGAAATAATAATTTTGGTCAGATGTCAGATACTGAGATTACACACCAAATTAATACCCTGCCACCATTGATAATTCATATCCAGTGTATTAAGCCAAAATCCTTTTTTCATAAGCAGCCCAAAGATCATCTCTATAAAGTTTGGCTTCAACAGCAGGATTTTTAGCAGCTGTTACTCCACGTCCAACGACTATCACGTCACCACCTTTATCAATTACGGCCTCTTCTGGGGTTACCCATTGCTGGCCCAGGCCATCTTCTTTGACCTCTCCTCTTCGAACACCAGGGGTGAGCTGCACCAATCCAACTTGGTCGGCAAGGAGCAATGACTGGCACACTAGGCCAGCCACGATCTTGGGGTATTTTGTAGCCATCTGGGTTGTCCCTGAAATTAATGTTTATTTTTCATGCTGAAATGCAAAATGATAGATTTACCTTTAATATATTCCATAGTTATTAGGTTTCCTTCACTGCTCATCTCGGCAAGCAAGAAGCAACCCCTAGGTGCGCCTAGTTTTTCGCTCTCCCCCTGAATCGCTTGCAAAACTCCCTCTCCAGGTAGGGAGTGGACGGTCACAAGATCGGCCCAGCGGGAGATATCAAAATACCCACCACTATATTGCTTGGCAACAGTGTTACCAATGTCAGCGAATTTCCTGTTTATTCAGTTAATTAGAAACGTAAAATTTAATTGAAAAATGGGCTACCTGTCTTCCAGAATCATGAAGTCCATTTGCTGAGCCAGCAAAATGAGGTCGTCTGCTACATCTTGAGTGAAGTTGGCAGTAACATCAGCGTGAGTCTTCAGGACACAAATATACGGTCCAACTTGTTTGGCTATTTCCAACAAATCGCTTGCACTGCCAACATCAGCAGCAACACAGAGATTGGACCTTTTGCGGGCCATCAATTGAAGAAGATTTTTCGACACTTCGCAGGGAGCCTTTTCTGCTCTGGTCTCAAAGGAGATGGTCCGTTTGTTCACTTTGGTAACTATAAAAGTTAAGTCATCATTTTTCAAATACTGGGAATAAAAAAGATACCTGGATAAACTGGAGTACTGTCATTGTTGTCTTGCAAGTAGGCTTGAACTTTTTCCAACATTAAGTCGTCAACTTTACCACTCGCTTTTAAAATGTCCATCATCTTTGAGAGTATACAAAACAGGTTAATTGAATTTTTGTTGAAGATTGCAAAAATTTAATTCTTACCTGCATCAACGTGCACACACTGTGGCAATTAATTCCTTCCTTTTCCAGATTTTTGGGACCACCTTGCTCTCGGTCAACAATTACTATGGCATCAGTCACCACCAGTCCTTCTTTTCTAAGATCCTATTGAATTTGTGACAAAATATATTTATATTTTTTTTTTTATATATTTAATATAAATTACAGCCACTGTCTCCAAAACACTTGAACCAGTAGTGACGACATCTTCAATTATGACACACGATTCCCCAGCGTTGATATCTCCCTCGATGAGCTTCTTGGTGCCATAACCTTTGGCCTCTTTGCGCCTGATTAGCATTGGAATTTCTTGCCTAGCAGAAATCAGAGTTGCTATCGGTAGGGCTGTGTAAGGCACGCCACACAATGAGTCACACTTCTGAATATTGGACGAAGCAAAGTCCCACATCAGCTTGGAGATCTCATTCTAAAGAATAGAATTAAATAAAAACGCGTGATTTTGAAACAATTTATACAATGCACGTTTCTGTGTGAACATAAACACAAGTGAAAAAACAAACCATGAGTTTTGGATGGGAAATGATCACCCGTAAGTCAACATAAATTGGTGATCTGCGTCCACTTTTAATCACGAAATCGCCAAATTTCAGTCCTCCAATGTCATAGAGTTGATTGACGACATCGCTTATTTGACTCTTGAATGCCATGGTTTCACCTGCTTAACACAGAGAGAATAATTTAGCAGAGATTTATGAGAGAAGTGTTAAGTAAAATGGACTTGGATAATATGATTTTTTTTCTTTTGAGCCGCTTTTGAGCAGGATTTTACTTTTAGCTTTGGGCTATTTTGTACAATGGAAGGAACGCCACACTATAAATGCGACTCTGCTTCAATAAAAACATCAATAATTCGACAAAATAAGAAAAAAATAAATTTACTGACTACGTTGTATGTTGATTTACTCTGCTTTGATGCTGTCTTGTTCAGTTTCAAAAAAGCTAGGCTAGGCTGAACTGGCTGTGGCTGAAGTCACAACAAAATAAATTGTCTTGTCTTTTGTCTCCTTTCGATGGTTACCGCACCTGAATGAGTGTTATCACCGCCCATGGATTTATTAGGAGACTAGTAGAGAGCCATACCAAACTAACCAAACACTAGCGCCTTTTCACTCTTCTCAATCATGTACAGCCCGTCATATCTCTCATTGGAGAATCGTTGATCACTAAGAGCTTCTCGCTCCTCCGTAGGTGGCACTGTCGGCGGAATTTGAGAATACGACTCTACGGTGCTGCCCCCAAGCGTTGCATGGCTTAATGCATGGCGATCGGCATTTCGTTTTGTGCGAATGCAATGTTTTTTAAGAACGCGTTGGTATTAATTATTCAAAATTTCAGTGTTGATAGATAATTAAACTATGTATTTTTTGATATGCTAGTTTTAAATTAATTTTGACTAGGAGTGGAGTTATTAACGTTTCCGCGAGAATTTTGTTTTTTTAATTTTAAAAATAGAGAACAATTTTAAATAATATAAATATTTACAGAAACATGTTGCCAATTAAATTTTCTACAATTTCATTCATAACCTCAATGACGTCAGAATTTTTTTTACTGAAGTAAAAAAGGTTCAAAAATAAAATATAATTTTTTTATATAGAAATAAAATTTTTATAATTTTTTCAAGATAGCCAATCGATTTGAAATTTAATTTTAATCTTAAGTCTAAATTTTCATTTAAAAATATTCAGCCGTTTTAAAATTAGAAAATAATATTTGATGGCATCTCAAACTGCTGACGAAGACGAGTGGCGGCGTCAGAGCGCTTTCGAAGAAGCAAGTTGCAGCTTAAAAACGGTTGAATATTTTCCTATGAGAATTTAGGTTTAAAATCAAAATTAAATTTCCAATCGATTGGCTATCTTGAAAACATTCTAAAAATTTTATTTCTATGTAAAAAAATTATATTTTATTTTTGAACCTTTTTTACGTAAGTAAAAAAAATTTTGACGTCATTAAGCTTATGAAAGGAATTGTAGAAAATTTAATTGGCAACATTTTTCTGTTAATATTTATATTATTTGAAATTTTTCTCTATTTTTAAAATTAATAAATCAAAATTCTCGCGGAAACGTTAATAACTCCGCTCCTATTCAAAATTAATTTAAAACTAGAATATCAAAAAATACATAGTTTAATTATCTATCAACGCTGAAATTTTGAATACTTTGAATTAACGCGTTCTATAACAAATTATTCTAAAACAAATTGCCCGTCAGATCTCTCCTGCTGTGAAATGTGGTTGGTTGAAAACGGCCAAAAACCTCCAAATAGTGCGTCGCCCCTCCATACGCGGCGCTGTTGATCAGATTTCGCTGGCACCTCCGTCGGGCGAGAACCGCTCGTTTTGATAGACAATTCCGCGAATACAATTTGTTTTAAGAACGCGTTAATTCAAAGTATTCAAAATTTCAGCGTTGATAGATAATTAAACTATGTATTTTTTGATATTCTAGTTTTAAATTAATTTTGAATAGGAGCGGAGTTATTAACGTTTCCGCGAGAATTTTGATTTATTAATTTTAAAAATAGAGAAAAATTTCAAATAATATAAATATTAACAGAAAAATGTTGCCAATTAAATTTTCTACAATTCCTTTCATAAGCTTAATGACGTCAAAATTTTTTTTACTTACGTAAAAAAGGTTCAAAAATAAAATATAATTTTTTTACATAGAAATAAAATTTTTAGAATGTTTTCAAGATAGCCAATCGATTGGAAATTTAATTTTGATTTTAAACCTAAATTCTCATAGGAAAATATTCAACCGTTTTTAAGCTGCAACTTGCTTCTTCGAAAGCGCTCTGACGCCGCCACTCGTCTTCGTCAGCAGTTTGAGATGCCATCAAATATTATTTTCTAATTTTAAAACGGCTGAATATTTTTAAATGAAAATTTAGACTTAAGATTAAAATTAAATTTCAAATCGATTGGCTATCTTGAAAAAATTATAAAAATTTTATTTCTATATAAAAAAATTATATTTTATTTTTGAACCTTTTTTACTTCAGTAAAAAAAATTCTGACGTCATTGAGGTTATGAATGAAATTGTAGAAAATTTAATTGGCAACATGTTTCTGTAAATATTTATATTATTTAAAATTGTTCTCTATTTTTAAAATTAAAAAAACAAAATTCTCGCGGAAACGTTAATAACTCCACTCCTAGTCAAAATTAATTTAAAACTAGCATATCAAAAAATACATAGTTTAATTATCTATCAACACTGAAATTTTGAATAATTAATACCAACGCGTTCTTAAAAAACATTGCATTCGCACAAAACGAAATGCCGATCGCCATGCATTAAGCCATGCAACGCTTGGGGGCAGCACCGTAGAGTCGTATTCTCAAATTCCGCCGACAGTGCCACCTACGGAGGAGCGAGAAGCTCTTAGTGATCAACGATTCTCCAATGAGAGATATGACGGGCTGATCATGTATCATCAACACATCAACAAAGTCGAATTTCGAATCGAAACTGGAAATTTTTCCTTTTCCTCGCTCAAGCTCAACTCGTTTTGGGTGCCGGTTCAGCCGGTTGCTGCAACGAAAATTAGAAAGTTATAAGCTCATGATTGGTGGAGAAGTTATATGGGAAGTGGGGTAATAGCCAATCCTGACTGGAGTTTATTTGGTGGGCACCGTTGGCAGCAGTGTTTTTTGAAGGCACGTCACGTCACCCAGCTGCAACTTTTTTAATACATAAACATACAATAGCAATACTTTTTGGAAATTTTGAAAAAAACAAACTTATTATGGTGTCTGATGAACCCGAAAAGGCAGAGCAGCCGACTGAAGAAGTCGAGCTGCAGGATGAAAACCAGCCAATCAAGATCTGCACGCTAGAGAGTATCCTTTATTCAGTATAATTCAGGCGACCATGCCATATGCACACATCATAATCAAAGATATCAAACATGAATTTCAATTTATAATGATGAATCCAACTCCAGTGTATTTATTCTATTTTTTTTCATCAAATATTTTCACGCATATTTTCCTGATAAAAATTGAACAGTTTTGCGAATAATCAAAGACGCTCAGCAACAACATGGATTGCGCCATGGAGACTACCAGCGTTATCGGTAATTTTTTTCGTATTACAGTACAACAGTATAATTAGTTTTGAATTCGTAAATTTTAAATGAAAAAATTTTTCTAGTGGCTACTGCACTCGTAAAATCAAACGTTTGAGGAAAGCTCTGCACATTCCTCAAGGAGACCGGAGACATTTTCGGAAGAAGGATGTGACGGAGGAAATGGTCACCGAAGAAAAGTATTTTTAAAGCTAATTTTTGTGCTGTGTAATTGATTAAAATCTGTTAGGTGGTTGTACATTCCTCTGATGCTGGCTGAAAGAGCTTGGAGTTTTGCCATGCAGCTACGCCAAGAGTCCAACACTGAGCCTCGCAAAAAGTTCCACCTGATTGGTCGCCTTCGTAAGGCTTCTACTTATGCCTTGCAGCTTGAAACTCTCTGCCAGGTTTATTTATATTAATTAAATACAAATAAGACGTTCAAATTATCTTTTTCAATTTCATCAGGGGGATAAATGTGATGCTCGAACTAAATTAGAGGCTCAGGCCTATGTTGCTTGGATTCATGGCTCCCTGCACTTTGAGTTGCACATGTGGAAACCAGCAATGGAGAACCTTAAGAAGGCCCAGTATGTTTGATATTTAAGTTTGATTTTTTTAAATTAAATACCTTCAAATTCAGGATGGTTTACGAAAAGCTGGCAGCTGCTTTGCCAGAGGATGAGCAGATTATTTACAAGCAGAGAGTCGAGGAGCTCTCCCCCAGTTTACGCTACTGTGCTTACAATGTTGGTGATGAATCCGCCATAAACGACCTTTTGAAGATGCGTGGAACTGGTCTGGGTGATTTGTTGGCTGATGTGGATGTGTGTTGAAATATTTAACCATCTAACTGAATGAACTAATTTTTCCCCTCCAAATTTAGACTTTGATTGCTCAGACTAGAGACAAGAGGTCTCAGGAATTGTCAGAGGTGCAGTGGCGTGGCCGATCGGTGCCTGTGAAGCCAGACAAGGTACGTCCGTTCCTCGCAGCTGACCAGGAACTAAAGGAAAGTCTCGAAAGAGCTGCCGACAACCAGGCAAAGATAACTTTAATTGAGAATCTGCTTATGGACTGTAAGGATGCCATCGCTGCTGTCAAGGACGAGCTGAAGAATGATCCGGTTTGTTAAGAGGATGAATTTTTTAAATCGGATAATAATTTTTCCCGACAGAATTACAAAATTCGCTGCCAGGCCCAAAGTGGCCCAGTATCATCCCAGCACTACCTTCTCTCTTACCTCGTTTATATTCGTTTGACAAGAAACATGGAAAGGAACTTGCTGATGGTCGAGAGCACCAAACAGAATATGGATCCTGAGGTAATTACAAAAAAAAAAAGAATAGTGAAATCAACTGTACTTAAATTACTGGGAATTATTTGCAGAATGTGGAAGGAAAGAAATCCAAGCCCCAAGATTTAATTCGGCTGTATGAAATTATCCTCCAGAATGTGACTGAGCTTCAGTCATTGGCTGGATTTGAAGAGGACCAGAAGTTCCAGAAGGAGATTGATTCCCAGATCAAAGGATACCGAGCATTCAGGTAAGAAAGATAAGATATAATGTAGAGATTTTGATGTTCATTCTATTATTTTTTTCTTTTTCAATACGCAGATGCTATTACATGGCCCAAACTCTTGTCGGCTTGAAACGCTGGAAGGAAGCCATTGCACTTCTCCACAGAGCTGAAGAGTATCTCGGCCAGTCTCTGAAGCTGCAGCCACCCGACACTCTGGCTGCTCAGCTGAAGCAGCTCAAAACCAACATTGAGGGCCAGAAGTTTTCTGTACATGCTAACAGCGTTCTCAGTGAAGACGAACAAGCTGAAACGTCCACAAAAACTTACATCAAACAGAAAAAGGTAAAATTTCCATTTTCTCAACTTTTTATCATATTAGCATAATTTTCTTTTTTAGCCATTGGCTGAGCGTCTTAATGATTATTGTGAGGACCCAGCCCTGACGACAAAGCAACCAAACGTTTTCAAGCTGCCTCCTGAATTTGAGCCAATTCCTTGCAAACCCCTTTTCTTTGATTTGGCTTTCAATCACGTAGAATTTCCCTCCCTGGAAGACAAGCTGGAGCAGAAGCAGCAACAAGGAGCAGGAATTTCTGGCTTTGTTAAAGGGTTATGGGGTTGGGGAAGTGGTGCCAATAAGTAATTTAATATCTTTAAAAAATGCTTTATGGCTTAACTGTTATTAAAAAAAAATCTAAAATATTTGCTTGTTATTTTTACATTTTTTATTCCTTTTAATTTTTATTCGCTTGCAACCGAGTTTTTTTTTTTAAGTACAATTCCATTTTTAATAGATACAAGTACATGATGATATATGTAGGGGGATGATTTATGAATACCCTAAGCGATTATAGTTGCAAATTCAGTTTATTGGTGTACCACAGGGCAATCTCTGCCTATATCAAGATACATCATCAAAAAAATAAATTATAAATGAAAATTACAAAAATTATATAAAAAATGACATCATGAATTTAGTGGAGAATAATTTCAATAATTTTACCATGGCCCAACATAAAAGTGTGCTGATACCACGAAACTTGCTTACATTCATTTTACATTTAATTTATTAAACGCTATTATGCTTAATAAATCAATCGAATTAATGGATAATACAATGCAATGGAGATAATAATTTATTCTTTAATTACGCGTTTACGTACAACATATATGCGCTGCGGGAGTAGCGTTAGAAGAATACCATTCATACACCACCTGCATTTATTTACAGCTAAATAAATTTAATGCAAATCACAAAAAATTTTACAACTTTGCAAATTATTTATTTATTATTCGTATTACTCGAAAGAAAAATAATTATACAATGTAGAGAGAGAAATGAGCTACATTACCCGCTAGCTTTCAAATCATCCCCACCATCCTTTCGGCGATACACGTTCTCATTGGCTACTAAATGCCTCGTCTCCACTACACTTAAGTGCTGCCCCCTCAGTGTGAAATCACACTGAGTGCATAGTGTAGACGTACGCCATCGCCCTTAGGGAGAGAAATACACTCAGGATACTTTTGAGCGATCCTGAGTGCGTTGAGCATGCGCTCTCATCACTTGTGTACAATAACAATCGCGTATAATCGCGGCACACGCAGCCAACATTTTGTGGATTTTGGGGGTTCTTTTAAATTTTTTAGAAAATTTGTTTAATAATTTATTTTTGATACTTAATTAAATTTATTCTTACACCTTTATAAAATAAATCTTACTGCTGACCTCCATTATAAACTATTAACATAACTATATTAATTATTAATTATATTTATTATTGAAAATCGAATTTATTTATTAAACTTGTATTAGCTTAATTTTTAATTATCGGTAATAGGTCTGCTCCACAACACCGCTAAAGCGCTATAATAGCTGGCGGAAGCGGGGGTCCATAAGAAAAGCATTAATTGCGGCCAGCTCCGCCAGCTACTGCCTTTTAAAAATTTAAACATAAATTGAAATAAAAATCCAATAAAATTAATAAATAAAAATAAATTAATTAATTATTAAAATATAATACAAAAAATTATCTAATATCATCCCCCTTTTAACAAAAAAATTTTAAAAAGTTCTTATAACCTCGTCGTCCGAGTCCATTTCGTTATTAATTTTAGTAAAGAAACCTCAAAATAAATTTTGAAAGTTAAGTAGGCGCTCTCTTTAACGCATTTTCGCATTTAAACGCGCGTTTGTCCCATCAGCTGGCAGTGCCCTTAAGTGTGGTGTAAAAAGCAGCAAAATCACACTCAGGCAGCCTGAGTGTTGGCACGCCCCTTTCCCCTCAGTACGGTACACTTAAGTGCGTTTTGGTGGAGAACAGGCAAAAGCCACTTTCGTCGATGCCAAGGTGCATGGAAAAATAGGTGGCCTGAGCCGCGCCCCCCTGAGTTGAAAGCTTCTAAGAGGCTTCCAATCCGCGAGAGGTCTCTACTATAGGTTTCTCCCTACTGGCCGCAATATTTACCATAAGCGCTTATGGGGGAACACTGGGTTTACTTTGGTTTTTGCTTATTTTTACGAATTTCTTGCATTGTCACCACTTAAATAATGAATCAATTTGAAGCTAACAAATTTTTAAGGTCAGTGGAATGTTTATAATGTATCTGGTACCCGCTTCTCCTGCATTATTTTGCGTGATATAATATATACAAGGCAACGGCGGCAACGCGCATCATACTTCTTATAGGTCATATATAAGTAATAATACATAATAATAAACACAATGAATTTTTCTTATACATCAATCTTCAAACTGTGACCTTAAGATTTTTTATGATCAAAATTCGTAAATTGGTCATCTCTTAAAATATTTATTTTGAATAAAATTGCTCCCTAATATTTATTATCATATTATGCATTAGGTACACATGCATTGTTTATCTGACTTATCTCGGTTATCTAATTAAAAATAATCAGCTTTCTAAATTTCTGGAAAAATTGCAAATTTTAGAATTAATAATTAAAAATAATTTTTTACTATTTTAATCGGAAATTTTTGACACTTCACTCAAAATAGGCAGGCACCAGGCACACATCATGGCGAATAAAAAATAATAATTTAGAAAAATGATACATACATCTGAATAGATAATTAAATTAATTATTATTTTTAAAGATGAAAAGCAAATTCCAGTCCAGAGTTCAGAGCCAAGTAACAAACCCACAGCCCTGTCTGGACTCTGGACCACATCACGTGCCGACTTCCCGCCGCAATTTGAAGTTGTAATTTTCAATTACGCAAATTAACCACCCAGAGTTGATATTTTTTGTTTTAGAGGCAAGCATATCAATCTTTATTTTTTCTTCGATTTTTATGCTAAATTTTATCGATCAATCAGCTTGCAATTGTCTTTATTTTGCTACTAAATTTTGCATTGAAGCAATGGAAAATCAGTCGAAACAGGGAGAAAGCTACAGTAGAGACATCTGGTGTCGCGAAAGCCCCTTAGAAGGTTTAGCTTCCATAAGACCAATGTATAAGCGCCCTCTGTAAACCCACCTATCTTTCTATGCACCTTGGTCGATGCGTTTTTGTTTTTCTTTCACAGACATTTTTCATTCAGAAAGGGTACGTTCATCCGGTTGGTGAGGTGAGTTTTGATCACGAATTATTAGAGATTTCCTTACTTAACTAAAAAAATATAGCTCTTAACTGGTTCCTAATACTCCATATAACTATTAACTTTTAATTTTTATTCCACTTTTCTCTCGATTGAAGTGATTTTTCGAGATATTCTGACGCCGGTCGAGTCGGTCTCGTGGCAGCATGCTACGTACCCACGCTTGATAGCATGTCGCTAAAACTCGATTGTTATTCTTATAGGAATTAAATCTTCACCATGGTGAACGGCCGCGTTCCTTCGGTACACAGCAAGACATATGTCACCCCAAGAAGGCCTTTTGAGAAGGCACGACTCGATCAGGAGTTGAAAATCATTGGCCAGTATGGTCTCCGCAACAAGCGCGAAGTCTGGAGGATCAAGTACGCCCTGGCTAAAATCCGTAAGGCCGCCCGTGAGCTGCTGACCCTTGAAGAGAAGGAGCCCAAGAGGTTGTTCAATGGTGAGAAAAATATTTTTATTAAAAAAAAATATCTTGTGTTTTTACATGATGATAAACACCATCGCATTCTGACACCTCTTCAGAAATTTATTGTTGAGTCTGTTAACTGAAAATCCCCGGCTTTACGGAACTAAATCAAATTCATTGAAAGTTTGGTTTTTAACTTTATCTTCACAATTTCAGGCAATGCCCTTCTCCGTCGTCTGGTCCGCATTGGTGTGCTTGACGAGAGCCGCATGAAGCTTGATCACGTTTTGGGCCTTAAGATCGAGGATTTCTTGGAGCGTCGTCTGCAGACCCAGGTCTTCAAACTTGGACTAGCTAAGTCCATCCATCACGCTCGAGTGTTGATCCGCCAGAGGCATATTCGGTAATTTTCCATCTTTAGTCTATTATAATTTTGATAAAGCCTTAATCTACTGGGCAAGGAAACTTGTATCAGGTATTCCTAATCTGATAAGGCGAAAACAAAATCCTTGCATAATCCCAGTGAAATTTTACATAATTAACTGTTTCATGGCAAGGAAACATTTATTTTCTCATATAAACCCCTAAACCTTTCACTGTGGAAGACAAAAAGTATCATAAATGTGAATTTTGCAGTACCCTTTCCGAGTGAATGCAATATTCAAGCAGACCACTTGGGCTTGCTTGCAAGTTCCCAACGCCTGCATTGATTTGAAAAAATATCTGACAGGCCACTTGCTGCTCGCATGTCGAGAGCAATGTCTGTTCATTTTTGAGCGTGAGACTGGCTGCATTTGAATAGCTGCAAATTTGCCGCAGCTCTAGAGTAAGTAACGAAGATGAAAATTAATAAGCTCGTAATGTGGAGAAAGCATTATTTCTGTATGGTTACTCGACCATATTTGTGAGGAAGTATCCAGATTTTTCTATTGAAGTAGAGTGATTAAACATAACCATTGCTACGATTTGTTACCAAAAAATTTTAATATGCTAAGGATGGCATCATCTTATTAAACAAAAGTTTTCACACATTTAAATATAAACCCCTATGTTATTTTATAATTAAATTGCAACCATACATGATTCCATTTAAAACATGTTCTCTTCTTGCAGTGTCCGCAAACAGGTGGTGAACATTCCCAGTTTCACAGTCCGCCTGGACAGCCAGAAGCACATTGACTTCTCCCTCAAGTCGCCCTTCGGTGGTGGCCGCCCTGGTCGTGTCAAGAGGAAGAACATGCGTAAGGCTACCAGCGGTGGTGGTGGCGGAGACGAAGAGGAGGATTAAATGTTACATTTACATTACCTCGAATAAATATGGGTTTATTCAACAATTTTGAAAATTCATTCCAAAGTGGATCCGATTTTCTTTCTTGAGGTCATGCTACAGAGGAGTTTATCTAGTGTCTCACACTTCAGCCTAGTGCTTCGGATCATTTTGTCTAGATCATTGATTATCCAGTTGTGTTGCTCATTCATATTGGCTAAAACTGCTAAGTCGCCAGAAATTTTTGCATCCTCTACGCGGCACCATAAATCTTTGTGTTGCATCTGAAGCCTTTTGTAAGTTTGGCAAGCCTATTAGAAGGAAAATTAATTTAATTAACCAACTTAGAACACAAATTATATCTCGCCTGACTGTAAGCAAGGCTGGACATGGTAAAGTCACTTTGCAGCGTCATTATTTTGCTTGCCAAATTCGTTTTATGCCTTTGCGCAGATTCCCGTCTCTATTAAGATATTATTAAGAACTACAAAAACAATATAGTGACTTTGCCTCTGAAATGTGATTTTTAAATTCTATTTGTCTGGATAGTAGGTTTCCTGCCACTGCAAGCTTATGTTGTAAGATGTCTTGTTTGATTTGAATTTGCAGAATTTTTGTCTCCCGCTTTGGCAAAGTCTCGGCAATCATTTTGTCCCTTTGACCAATAATACTGATATGAACGTGAGTTCTGAGCTTCAGTATTTTTTTCTCCATCGATTCTTGGCGTTCAATTAATTTGCTCACTTCCTCATCATGAATCTGATAAATTAAATTTTCATTTACAAGGTCTTCAAAAAGTATTTTAAAATTGACCTCAGTGGAAGACCCATGCTGAGTTAAATCGGATTGAATTTTTTTCCTGGGATTTCCTACTGAAAGTGCAATTCTGTGAAGGATTTTTGTCAGTTCTTTTCGCCAAACGCTGTGCTTCTCGACGGCCCGCATTAGCTCATTTTGGAGACTCTCGTTAGAGGAAGCTTGTTTAGACCACTTGCTTTCATACTCTTTCGCAATGCGACCGTAATTGAGAAGTTGCTTTTCAAATTCTGCCTCCTCCACATCATCTTCCAGATCAATCCTTTTATTATCCCTCTAGACCAAATAATTTGAGTTTTTTAGATTGCAATTTGGAACTCCAACTATTATTACAAAGTTACCTGGTACATGTGCCCAATAAATCTGGAAATCTTTGCCAGTTTCCGCTCCATTTTAGTGATGTCGTCATCTATTCCTCTAGACTGGCAATTTGTAAAGCTTTCACACGCTTCTGCCATTTTTGCTAAATTAAATATTATTTCATAATATTTCTAAATAGACTTGCTTTTCACTTGAAGCCAATATGAAGTACTGTTATAAATAATTCAAGTTGCTAGGTTACACTGAAACAAACTTCTGAGACTTATTCTCAATTCTACAGTTCAAGCAGTACAAAGTATTGCTTTTATTTTAAATTAAATGAACAAATCATTTTTATAAAAAAATCATTATCATTAAGTTGCATTGCATATTATGATCCCAACAAAAAAATCTTTGATTGTTTGCACATTTTCTTATTAAAATTAAGCAACTAAATTTAATACAAAATATGGAATTGAAATGAGACAGTCTACAAAATAAGGGTATAAATTTTTATTGAAGTAAAAAGATTCTCGTTACATAAATACTGCGTACATATTTTTTGCTTCGGATTATTCAAAACTGTTAGAAATACATGCACTTCAAATCAATTGGGTATATTGGATTAAGTTAGTCTTCCAGCTCATCAGGATATTCTCTTTCTTGAAGGACTTCTGCTGGCTCAGGTTTAAAAATTCTCTTCTGCTTTGCGCCCTCTCTGAAATAATTATTAGTTTTTTTTAATGATATACATGAACAAATTTTTGCATTAAAAATATTACTTAGCATCATCAACAATATCGCGAGCTATGTCATTCAAGAGCTCCGCTTGAATTGCTGCAATTAAAGTTGGCAAATTATATAAAAATTTCGTTTCCATAAATTATTTTAAATTTACCCTTTTGGCTGTCTGCTCCATCTGCTGAGAGTACCGCAGAAACCAGAACGGCGCATAACAGAAGGCAAAGGATTTTGCGAGCCATGGTAGTGCACTCTGCGAATCCTAACGCAATTATGTTTAAAACCTAGTCTCTGCACTCGAATAAATAAACTCCAGACATTATCAGTGCTTACGATAAAACAAGTCGCGATTGTCGCCTTTTTATTTTTAACTTTATTCTGATAAAAGCAAAGCTTATAGGGGGAAATTAATCTGCTCGGTTTCAAACTAATTATTTCCAACCACAAAACAGGATACAGGATCAGAGAATTTTTATTTAAGAATTTTAATTTTGATTTATATAATAAAAACATTTTAATTTTATTTCTGGATATGCTACAGATGTTTATATTTGGCGACGATCACAACGATGCTAATTTTTCGGATTTATATAAAGATATGGCAATTTTTAAATAAATTGAATGAGCGTATAGAAGTTTTTTTTTAGCAAATGTATACATATTTTGAAAATTTTACTGAAGTATAGATAAATCCAAGCGGAATAGGCGAGCCCGGCTAGAGCGCCTCTTTCCACGCTATCGCTTTATCCATTGCTGCCTGCCAAGCTGGCTTTGGGCTTTGCCTTTATATTTTTGTATATTTTAAAGAAATTTTTAAGAAGATTATGAAAAAATTATGTCTACAGCTCAGAGGGCATTTTGATTGTCTGATCAATAATTATGCTGTTGGCGCATAAATGAAAACGCTTGATTATTAAAAAAAAATCTCTTTATTGAGCAATTTGTCAATTCCAGAAACGATGATGTGACGTTTTTCACTTATTGGCTAACATTTGACCTTGCAGTTTATACACCTCAAGTCCCTTTCCTGTGAAACAAACTGCTGCATAATCCTATCGCAACTTGCAACACGTTAAAAACTAGAAATGAGACTCTACACAATACTAAAATTAAAATGAAATTATCGGGAGTTATATGAAGAGGAGAACAACTGAATGAAGCAATAAACTGCCATATTTAATCAACAAGCCGCACTATAGCTAATTATTATATAATTATTTTAACTTTTTGTGAGATGAATGAACTTTTTACAAATATGATTTAAGCACTTTACACACTTTTTCAAAACAAAAGTTGCTTCTCAATCGGAAGTTGCAAGTCCAATTTTAATGCCGACTGTATTTAATCCTATCCGGAAAACACTAATTTTGGCAGGGCTAGTGCACAACTGCATGTGACTAGCCACAGCAAGAGGGTGGCCGCTGGTCTGGCCGCCAGGCTGCTTCCTAGCAAAGTTTCAGCAACAACTGGATCTCTCTTCATGTCCTGCAAGTCCTCGAAAATGACCACGACCCTTGCGTTGCCCAGGGAATTATTTCTTTTTTCAAAACTTTCAGTCACCAAGACCTCGGTGACAGTGACGACTGTGGGTTCTTTCGTCGTTGAGGGTATTTTTTCATAATCTCTGGACTCAAGGACATCGGTGGATTCATCCGGGGTCATCGTTGTTGAGTTAGTTGGCATAGAAATTGGCGACGCTGGAGGATCTTCACGCAAGGGGTTCGGTGCGCGACCAATAAAGTGGACGCTGACGGTTTTAGCAAACATAGTGGCTCGCCGCTGCCGCGAGTGCGATGGGTTGAACAGTCTCCTCATTCTGAAATTTTGAAAGAGAAAAAAAAATGATAATTTCATATTTTAATTTTCTATACTATTAAGTTTTATTTAAAAGCGCCAAGGAAATAAAAGTCAGAAAATGAAACTTTGATAAGAGCAAGTTGGTTTATTTCTAGAAACCGCAACACAAAACGGCGATAACTAAGCGATAATTTGAACACCTCAGTTTGATCTAATCCCTTAAAATTTTATCCACGATTATCAAGAAAGGTAAAAAGTAAATATAAAAAGTTTCCTTATCCGTCGAGTACAGGAAACTTTGGTTTACAGATAAAAAATTAATTAGGCCAAATAAACCCAAACTTAGTTATCTGGGTTTAAAAAAAACAGATAATGCAGAAATTCTAAAATAAAGTATTTTCCTTTGAGCAGAAAAGTAAATAATTTATAATATTATTAAAAATGCACTCACGTCGAGGAAATGATGTTTCCAGTTATATCACTTCCCTGGCGCGGCTTCATTGCTTCTTTGAGCAAGTGCGAAGTTTGAACCTCACGTGGCTCTCCGTTCAACCTTGTCCTGCCTTCGCCGACTAAAATCGTCAAAAATAATTAAAATATAAAATACGTGATGCCAATTTAATTGAATAAAAACCTCATTACCTGGATCTGATCTCGGTTCCCGCGGGGGCTCTTGACTCACTGGTTCGTCAACGGTGCAGAGGAAAAGCGCGACGACGAGCGCGGCGCCCAAGGTGAGGAAGACGCGCACCGCTCGACCCATTGTAAATCCAATCACAGACTGCGAGCGACCTGTGAGTTCTCACACAAATGCACACCGAGGTGCTTCTTCAGCCCTTCTCTTCGCCTTGTTACTGTGTTAGTCAGGCTCACGTTTCGTCTGCAGGCTGAATGAAGTAATTAAAATTGCACTGAGTGCAGTTTTTAATGCCATAAAATAAGAGCCATCTGTACAATTTCTTGTCTCCAATGTCGTAATATTTGGGGTGAATTGCACGATACTTTTTCAGATCGCTTTCAAAAGTATTAATTAATTATTTTAGATTTCATATGTACCAATAAGTAGAAAATAATTTCAATAAAATATTCGATGCTGAAAATTAATTTCCTTAGGAAATTTTTAATACAGAAAGAACATTTTACAAATAACAATTTGAATGATTATACTTATTATTATATAATACTTATCAATTATTTTATTAATTAAAAGTATTAATTAAATTCCATATAAAATTTAATTGTGATTAGGCAAACAATTGTATCATATAAAAATAAAAATATATAGTTAAGTTAGCTTATTAGCACAAATTTCATAAAGGCAATAAAAACTACTCGAATTGGAATGATGAACCTGGTGCAAAAAACTAACAATAATTCATTATAATTAATATAAGTCAAATTACACCTCTGCTACTTACTTGGAAATAATTATTGCAATATTATATTTTTGTGTGAAAAAATCTTTTTACCTTCCAATGTAGCAAAAAGAGACCTACATTTCACCAGTCAAAGAAATTGTTGGGTCATTGTTCGTAAAAATGCTGATTGAAAGATGTCAATTATGCAGATCCACTTCCTCACACCCGCTGACATGGCACTGGGTGCCTCGTTCCCTCTCCGAATGCACTTCAGCAGCCGAGTTTGATATTAATAAATGTGCATATTGTATAGAGCGCGCTAATTTTTCATCAAACAAGCGCTTGTCTCGCGTGAACTGTTTTATCTTTCGCACCTCATTAATATTCTGACAGTGAGTTTTTCCTCAAAGGAAAAATGATCTGGCGGAGCGGAGGCGCGCGATCAGATAGCAGTTTCGCCTTGCCGACATATTTTTCATCTCTCTTTCAGCTAGCACGTGCCTCTCTCTCTCTGGTTTGTGGTGTTTAGAAAAATAAATCAGCGGATCAAACAGCAATCATCGACATCACGCCCAAAGAATAAATTGATTGCTTGGCAAATCCTGAGCCAATTTGCAAATTAAAGCATCTTCGACTTTTCGCGCTGGCTCATCGATTCGTACAACCGGTTAATTGCGCCTCATTTTGCACAGAAGTGATGACAGCAAGCAATTTGTTGACCGGGAAGCTTTGTCAAAAAATAAAGAAATAAATAAATTTATGCTCCATTTGCATAAAATCAGCATAATCGCTCATGACTGTTATATTCTTAGAATTAATGATATATTGTTTATTATTTCTATCGGTTATCGGTTCAGTGAAATTTTAAATTCAATAATTTTTTAAATAAAAGTTTGTAGTTTGTTATTGTAAGAATTTGACGCAAAATCACAATTATTATAATGTAAATTATGCTATAATATTTATAAATTATTCAAAATCTTAATTATCAATTGTTGTTTTTTTTTTTTTTTTTGGGATTTTTACAGCAGAATTATATAATTTAATTTCGAATACTTGAAAAGTTTTGCGTTTTTATTTTTCCTAACAAAACTTGCAAAATATCAGTTTTGTTATGTAAATATCAGTTTTGTTATGATATTATAAAATAAATCCAACACCAACAGCCAGTAAAGAGAGTCAAATATTGAAGATTTATTAGATGAGATTTATTTAATAATTTGTTTTATTGTAAACCAAGCGTGTTCAATAACCACCCAGTTTTACTCTTATCAACGTGAAATTCCCTAGTCCAAATCTCACTTCCTTATATGTATATGAATAGATCGATATGTAGTGTTAGGTGGGGAATAAAAAACAATTCAATAAAATTGAAAAGTGAGTTTAAGCATTGGTACGTTTACAGCGCATGCAATGAAGCGACCGGTTGTAATTTTTAAACCGATCATACTCCTGGTAATGCTTCTTTTTAGCATCATGCCGATCCTTTGTGCTCCTGCAGGTAAATGGCATTAAATTATATCTACTGATTGAATTGAGTACAATTTAACACGCTGTCTTTTGAAGTGCTTGCAGAAGTGGAGAGGGAAATGTCAGAACTCGACGACGGACACCCAGAAGTTCGGTAAAGAAAATCATGTTTAATTTATCATTCTTGCTATGATAAAAATTAATTCTTTACAATTTTAGTGACAAGCGATTCTTAATGTTTGGATTGAGCGTCTTGGTGTCCTCATTTTTTTCATAGAGAAAAAGGAACAAGCATATTTCATTTGTATGCTGCTCAAGATATCTATCGATTTTTTGACCAAAAATGGTTTTCATGCACTTCATCAAAATTTTTAGTATGTCAAAAAATTTGAATTAAATCAAAGCAATAAAGAAACTCTTATGAGAAAATATTTTATAATTAAAGCATTTGATTTTATTTTCAATTTCAAGTCAGAAGTAATTGTGTCTTTTCTAGGGCTGGTTGCCGATTTTCTCATTCCAAATAATCTATTCAACCTGTTGTGAGAGAGTAAACGTATATAAATGCGTAACTCGCTGTAGATAATACACATGAAGAGATTTTTAATTTTATGTATTTTAGAGTTTCTGGAGTTTGTTATGTCTCTTAATTTAAATTATTCTATTCTCGTAAATAATATTTACCAATTGGTAAATAATTTCTGCATTGATACAGAAATTATTGTATCAAACTTTCAGCCATTTAATTTTTAAAGTTTAATTGTAAGTAATATCATCATATTTATACTTATTTCCAGACTTTTCCAAACTTACTGTTTCAACAATGAGTAATTTTTGTCAAATGCTTTTTTGGCTCACTGTGCCATTTCCATTAATTTAACTTTCAGAATGCAAGCTGTAAACTTCATTAGCTATATGGTTATTTTATATTTTAATTTTTCAACTTTAATTCACTTCAGTATGTTTTTTTTTTTGTAAATAATGTGTGAGCACGTTGAATGAATTTGAACATGATTTGAGAAAATCGGGAGGTGAAAAATTATGATCATATTTAAAAATGTTTAAAAAGAAATAAGAGCAGCCATGGTAGAGCGCAGGGCAAGTAAGTAAACGGCTTGGCACTCTAGAGGCCGGTGGGTCATTTTTTACCCCGGTGGCGGCCGTGGTTTCTCACAGAGTTTAGAGAGCCACATTTTACGTAGGCGGCGGGCGCAGCCCTCGGCCATCATAAATGGCACTGCGGCTGCGACGCACACAGAGAGAACGGACTTTTCCAGTGGCAAGAGTTGTGCGGTATATAAATCAGCACGGCACTGGCCATTGCTCGCTGCAAGTCGAGTGTAAAGCTGGTGATAGCAAAAAGTAGTTTGTTGAGCAATAAGATGGTTATCACGTCAATTAAAATCGGGACGAAAAAGAGGAGAAGAAACCGTGATTTACGAGCGGCGACGAAATTGGCTCGCTTTTTAACTGGGATTTTGTCTGCGGGGCTATTTTTGAGGCCGGACGTAAAAGTGTGCAAATCCATTTTCCCATTTATTTTGCACCATCGATTCTTCATAAAAGCGCCTGGCAGTGCGGGTCGTTAGTTTCGGAATTGTTATTTTTCACGCGGCGGATGGTCAGACGCGTGCTTTTGATTAAATTAATGTTTCAGACTCACGTCACTGCAAGTTTTTTAGCTGCCACTGGAGCTTTGTGAAAATATACTGCCGTTGACGTGCATCAAATTTACCTTTAAATTGGGTAATGGAATTAAGCTACCTATCAGATGGAAATTTAATAAAACTTGTCCAAAGATAAATTTAATGCGAAAATAGTTTATGATTAGGCATCAGGTTTAAAATGAAGTATACAAGTTCATAATATTGAAGTTTTAAATAAATTAACGAAATTTGTAAAACGCTGTCCCTTTACTCACTGAAATTCACAACTTTAAATCCTTTAAAGCGGAATTTTTAAAATTTTTAAAGGTATCAAGATTTGCAACTTATGTCAACTGCTTCTTGCAATTTTTCCACAAATATATGATTACAAATGTTGTAAATTTTCTGGATTTCTGCAGTAGGAGATACAGAATATATATTATATAAAAGTAGCTTAATTGGGGATCGGGATCAGGTTAATGTGTAAAAATTTATAAAGCATAATTTGAATTTTGAATGGAAGATTATTATAAATTTAAATTTTTCCTTATTCTGAGGAATGATAAATTGTAAAATATTTTCATTATAAAAATACTTTTTATATAATATAAAACGGGAGTGTTCACGGCGGTAAGTTTATTTTTTTTAATTCCTGTCATCTCCCTTTGTTGGCGGAGGGTAGAGCAATTTCCAATATCCACAACTATTGTGAGTTTGAGTTTTGCGGTCGTCGCAGAATATATTATTGCGCTATAATTTGTCCATACGCGTACAGAGTACATATCCAGCGGGGAATAATTTTAATTAATTTCCACGTAGGTGCGGCGTGCGATAAATTAATAAAATCTGAGTAGCGTTGGCCGGTGTAAATAGCTGTGCGAGCTGCACATCGAGCAAATGTGTTTGTGAGGATCTGAGAGAGAGCTCGAGGTTGCAGTGGCCAGGGGATTGTTGATAATAAGCAACCCTTGCAGGTGAAACAATGCCGCCGGTCGGCCGCGGTGATTTAAATACCGTTTGTAATGGGCCTCTCATGAATATGGCGCATAAAGGCGGCCGAGCTTTCCTTGCCTCTCTGCTCTGCTCGCCTATTTCGCATTGTGCATTAAATATAACAACGCGATTTCCTCCACCTCCTCCTGAGCGCAATTGTGTTATTTCTGTATGTACGGCCCGCTGTCCTACCCAAGTGTCGGGCACACAATATACCTTCCAGCAGACTTTTGCATGAATGTTTCATGTGTTCTGTATAGGAAGGAGCTCCACTGATGCATAATGTTTCGTCCGTTTGCCCTCTTCGCTTTGGCTTTGGTAGTATAATGAGGCGCATTCGTGCATGTTGATTTTTGCGAATTTCACTCCAGGTCGAAGTGAATGTCCAGCGACATGCTCGGGACACACATCATTATTCGTGAAGGCTTAAACAGGTTGTCCTTTTTGTTGAACCAAGAATAGAATACGAAATTGGCAGGCAAATAAATTGAAGAAGAAAAAATGATAAATACGCTGGTCTCAATATATATTTCCTAGCTAAAAGAATAAAAAGTTAATTTTCCTTTCCTCATTTATTAATCAATTTTCTTTTTCTTCCATATTTTGATATTTTATATATTAATGAATGTTTTTACTTATTGTAAGAATGTTGTCTCTGATTGTGAGTGAAACTGAGAGCATGGCAAAAATTGCTTCAGATAGGGCAAGCGTTTGGATCGCCGTGACTTTTCACTTATTATCAAAGCTCTCGTGAAGCACTTTTAATTAAATACCTTAAATAGTACATACAACTCAATCCCTGTTCTTGTGTTTATTTTCAAACTGATAAAAATTTGAATTAAAATCGATACAGAACTAAAATCTGGAAAACGTGGGCTTCATTAAAAAAATTTCAATTGTTCCAGGGACTTTTGGAGAAAAAAAGGAAAACTTCAACCAATTTATAATTTTTTACATGCATCCTGCTTGCATCTAATAAAATCAACTTTTTATGCAGAGATTCTAGCACACATATTTGTGCGCAAAAGTATATGTTGAAATTTTTGACCTTGCAGAACAAGATAGTGGGTGTTGAAAAATTCCATGGTGCGCCCTAAAATAAACAAATCTGGTCAAACAATCTGTGAGAGCAGCGCACAGTGAAAATTAAACGCGGTTGCATGTACATATTTTTTGCACAGCATATTATATCGGCGGTGGAGCAGTTTGCAAAAGTTCAGAGGTCACTCCGCCGAGTTAGCATTTGGAATTACCCATCCCCTGGCTACGGTAAGTGGCAGTGTGTTATTATTATATTGCAGTGAGCAGCACATATTCAAATGCGGTCATTGCGCGCGAGAGCGAAAGAGAGAGGGGTAGAGGGTCGGCGGTGTGTGTGTCTGTGTGAGGGTGTTTGTTATTTTTTTTTTCAGGCGGCATTGTGCAGTGCCATTGTCCGAGAAGGTGCTTCCTACATTAATCAAAACCATAAATTCTCTCTCAGTGGCTGCTTAAAGAGCGCCTTTTTTGCACGCCCGGCCAACAGAGCAATTCATTTTCAGTGCGAGAATATATTTATTCAAATTATTCCAGAGCCGCCGCACCCGAGCCGGAGAATTAATACGTGTGTTATTTTTTTTTTTTCGGAGAGGGGAAAAGAACAACGAGAGCGGTCGCCTCGCAGGCTGCTGCTGTTTTATGGCATGCAAATTCCACGTCGTGAATCCATTCCATTCATTGGCCATTTTTCCTGCATACCTCTGCATAGCTCAGACACACCAGCAACGCTTTTTTGCAAGCTCGGTCGCTCTTTTCAAACAGCTAAATGGTTGCGGCAATCAAAGTAGCAAATGACCTGATATGGTATTTTAAATGTCGTACTTTACGATTTCCACCGCAATGCATGTTCAATCCCGTAAAGGAAATCCAATTTTAAATGCACTTATATGGAAAAAATTATTGCGTATAAATATATTATAAAATCATATTTTATTAAATATGACGCACATTTGGTGCAAAAAGGTAAAAGACTCTTTTTAATATAAGAGCAAAATTAATTCAACTGATTAAAAGAATAACTTTGAACTCAAGCAGTATTCGATGGGTTATTTTATTGTTACTATATGAAACATCATTTGGAGTATAAATTTTTTTATCAATCTGGTTTTTGAAACCAAGATGGAGCTGAATAAAAAAAAACAAGATTGTAAGCTACTTTACTACTAGCACCTGATGATAACCAACTAAAGGTCCAGCCCACAACTCTTATCAAAATACATGAAACTCTACCGATTTGCTAAACTATAAACAGCATTGCATAAGGCTACATAAGTCATTCCTGCGTGAAACCTTTTCAAAGAAAGTAATTATGAGGAATCTGAGCGCTATTTCCACTCTTTGGGTGGTGCTTCTCGTGGGTATCATCGTACCAGTCCTATGTGCGCCCACAGGTAGAACTATAAAATTTTGAATTTATCATTTAGTGTATTGAAATTTATGCTCTTAGAAGCGGAAAAAGATGTGAGAGAAATTACTGGTGTTGATGATGATGGAAACCCGCGGTAAGTTTTTTCTTCTAGCCAGTATTTGATTATTACAAAATTATTTCCTCGGGCAAATTTAAAGTGACAAGCGCATCTTCAGCTGGATCTGGAACACAATTAAAAGTATCTTTGGATAAGAAAATGGACTCGCTGCAAAAATTTTGATTGTTTGGTGTAAAATATTGACAATGTTTGAATCATAATAATAATACCTGACAATAACCTTTAGCAAACATTTTGTTGACTTGTTTAATTTGACTCATCTCCTACAATTTATTCGAGTGAGATGGTTCCCCCAATCCAAATCGAATTTATTTAAATTTAAATGAGAAAACTTGGTATCAAAAGTTCTTTTTAAGTTTGGTTAGTTTTTCCCGAATAATTGCGAATAATTGTAAATGAATATTTTCTAAAAGTTTAAACCAACTACACAGAAAATAAGACCAAACCAATATACTAGAATTGAAAGTTGTGAAATCTGTTAAGTTGTTCTTGTATTTGATATATTTTGTTGCTTAAATTCCACCTCATGAGAAATCTACATACTAAAAAGTACTACATAATAATGTCAACACCGGACGCTCTTCAACAAAGGCACCAGTAGCACAATTGTTGCAAGAAAACACAGTAACCGATTTTAGAAACTTATAAGCCACTTGGTCAGCTTTTTCTTCAGTTTGCCACTGGGTTCGCTGTTCGCCACCGCGAGGAAAAAGACAAATCCCCTTGTGCGGTGTTTTCGTCTGGCAAATAAATTTGATAATATTATTAAATGTAGCGTGGCCCATTTAGAGAGATTTGCAAGCAAATCATTTTTTTATCTTGTTACGCTGGGATGAGCGAGCTCGGATTCTGCTGGTGACCACAGAAAATAAGAACTCGCCCGCCGCGTGTGCACCACCAGCACAAAATTCACTCCCATCCTCCCACTTGGCTGGTTTCGGCTCAGAAGCTTTTATTCAATGGCACACGGCATAACAGTTTTGTGCTGTTTGAACTTTCAACTCTCACATAAATTGCAATCTTCTTGCAAATTTCTCAACGAAATTTTATGCTGGTTTTCTTTTTATCAATTAAAAGTTAAACAAAGTTAGGACGATATAGATAATTATAAAATCATTTTTTATTTATTTAATCTTTTCTTGAATACCTTACGCCATTTTTATTGTAAACTGCTAAAATATGTAGTTTTCAACTGAATGTACGAAATGACTTAAAATAATTCAAAATTCTCTCCTGGGATGATATTTTTGGGGGAGAAAAATGTGCTTCAAATCTCTTGAAAGAAAATAAAGGCTGAGAAAGTTTGGTGATGTGATGTATAGGAAATAATTTTAAGTTCTATTTGTATTAAAACGCAAAATATTAGTCCCAAAAAATTGTGAATACTAAATATGGTTACTTTTAGAATTATGATTTCGAGTGGTATTATTACTTAAATTATGCAAGATTGACAAAATATACAGCAGATATATATAGTAATAATACTAATAATAATAACAATCAAATCAACGATGTGATAAAATAACTTACTTGTGTGCGCTCAGATTTAGTCTCACGTGGCATCACTTCATTTGAATATTTGCAATCAAATGCTTTGGCTCTGTTCCTCTCATTTCATTAAAATGGGCACGTGCTCACGTACCGCGAAAAAAGTCGCTGAACTGCAATTATTGCGACTATTCTCGCTACGAGCGCACTTCTCCGAATAGAAATTGCATCTCTAGAGTGCAAGCGACGCCTATTTATTCACTCCCGGGTGTCTGTTATTTGCATTCGAGCTAGACAATTTTCGCTCAAGCTGCCGCGTCTAACAGACTTGATGGTGCAGAGAGCAACGGATAATCTAGAGTGATTTTTGTTTTAATTACTTGGCGTGATTTTAATTGTATGCTCTCTTGTCTTTCTATGATGACTGAATTACACTGACTGTAAGGTTCAGTGAATGGAAATGTAATAAAACACTACCAAATACGTGATTTAAATTCAAATATTTTTTTTCAAATAAGTAATTGAAATTATTACAGGGAGTTTAAAAAAAAATAACTAAATCTTTGAATTCTTAATAGCTAATAATTAGTTTCTCTTGAAATATAAATGTATATGCTAGGATTTGCGTTAGTTAATATAAAGCCAAAAACCAATACATGTAATCATATATTTTTATAAATTCATCATCAAACAATAAATTAAAATGTAATTGCATAATTAATAAATTTAGAAAATTACAAAAGAAAAAATTCAATTACTCTTGTTGTCAATTGCAAAAATTGCATTCGATGAACTATTGCAGAAATGCAAGACGAGAATAAGCGCCAATTTCGATTGCCTTTCGCCGTTTGTACGTGTTTACGCGCTAATCCTGGCAAACTGCTGCGGAAATCCCTCTGCAGCCGCCGGTGCAGATCCGACCCAGATAAATTGCACTTTGGCTGCATGGCAGGCGATGAGTTTGCAATCGCTGCGCAGCAGAAGAAATTTGATCTCCTCTCAACGCGTGAATACAAGCAACGGTCTCTGCATAATCCAGCGCCTATTTATTTTATTTTTTTCATTCCGAAACGCAATTTTGCTGAGGCAAACTCTTGGTGAAAGACAGCGCGGCACAATATCCACGGAAAGGAGCCGCCACCGCCGCCAACTTGCTCGGATTTCTTTAATTACGCGCGCGGCCAACAAAATTACTTTCTGTTATTTCCTCAAGAAGTCTTTCTCTTTTTCAACTTCTTGGCGTTCTCTCTTTCTTCTCCTTCGCATTCAAAAGTGGCTGTCTGCTGTGCTGCCCGACGCTCATTTCGTCTTTTGGCCGATTTTATATACATGTATAAAATAAATGTTCTCCCTTTTGCTGGCGGGCGGCTCACGCAAGTATTTGTAATTTAAACAACCAGCACCCACTTTGATATCGGACTGCTAAAGCGTGCGACGCAGTTTCTCGAGTAGCTCAACGATTTTAATTTCCGTTTCTGATACGGAACGCTTATTTCTGTTAAACACAGACATTGCAATTGACATATTTTAATTCAAGACTAGAAGTCGTTTTAATTAATTTGCCTTTGACAGACTCAAGCAAGCTCAATTCTCATAAGGAAAACACAGTAAAAGTATTCTTCCAGTTTGTGGAATATTCTAAAGTATCATAAATAGTATAAAATGGAATAACTTTTAAAAAATTATCAGACAAAAACTCAAATAAAGATAATATTAAATATAAGGCATTATAGGCTACATCAGGCTAATAAAAACTGGTTTTAGCTGGCATTTATTAAAATTTTTACATACTCAATAAGTAATTACGATTAATATGAAGTTTAACTTTTTATATTCATCCAGTCCATATCTGCTCTATAAAAATTTGTTAAACGTTAAACATATTCTGAGAGAAATGGTGTTGCTGACAAATATTTTCAATTCTTAGATTCTTATAGTGAAAGTGTTTATAATTAAATCTGCCTAAATGTATAAATGGTATACATTATATATTTTTAAATGCATATTATAATTATATATTTTTTATTGAAAAAATATACGTCCTCAAAAATAACTCACAAAGAATTTGAATATCCAGAGTTATTTTCCTTGATAACAGCAGGAAGTCTTTTTTAATAATAAATTAATATTTATTTGCAACTAAATCTATCACAAAATTATGGAAATAATCTTTGTCAAAACTTTTAATAAAAATTGGGTGACACAAGGTAAAAGGATGGGAAAATCATTATTATTTTATTCTACTCAGGTCATAACAAAAATTGAAATGGAAAAAATGAGCAGAAAGGGTATCACAATTAGTTGCAAATTGTGTTTATTGATATATCACAAAGGCAATTGCTGCCCATAACGGGATACATCATTCATACATTCAAAATTATACAAATTCAATACAATTGAGAGAAAAGATGAGAGTTTTACAAACAAAGTTTTACATGCGAAATTTCACAAACAAAATTTTCAATTACAAAATATAAACACAAGAAAAATAACAGTAGTCAAGTTCTTTGGACATTTTTCTTTTTCTTTTTCTGGATGCTGAAAGCTTGCATTTAAATGACTGCCTGATACTTCCAAATGCCGCTTTCTTTGTTCTTTTTTTGCTCTTACTCCTGGCAAAAAACTGCAGCTCAAATTATGTTTAGTAAACAGGCTTTTTCGTCTTTGATTTGAGCCTCGCAATTCAGCTTTTATTATTCCAGATCAGTCCTTATTCAGTTTTTTATTTTTTATTCATTTTTTTATTTTTTTTTAATATGTGATTTCATTCATTCAGCTTATACTGGTTCAAATATTGCTGCAATAATTTATTTTTTAAAGAGTTAATATTTTCATTTAAACACCAACTTTGCGGCAGTGCATTCCAAAGGCGATAGCTTGTCATTCTGAAAGAGTCATCATTGCAATCAAAAGGCGGAAGGAGAAACAATCTGTGTATTCTAGCAGCTCTGACTTGATAGTCATCGCGCAGCAATAATAATTTCCTTAAATAGGGGGGGCTGTTTTCATATAATATTTTGTGTGTCATCAACAGAGTGTTCAGCTTCATTCGCTCCTCAACTTTCAAAATACCTGCTTTAGCATAAAAAGGGGTTATGTGCTCACCGAAACAATTAGCAGAGACATGACCACTGTGATGAACCCACAAATTACCAATCATCAAAACCTCTTCCTCCTTTTTAGAAATATAATTTATGTTTATGAATATCATCTTCTCAGAAACAAAAAATTTTAAAATAAAACTATTTATGGCTGAAATGTCTTCAAGTTACTAGTTAAAAGGAGTCAGTAAGTGGAATTCCACATATTTGCTCTTCTCAGAATTTTTCATTGACCTCATTTCATTTTGTCGGGGGCTGGCGATATATTTATTTAAGCAGCGATCGAGGCACCAATTTTGCGAATGAAGTTTAGCCCCCGCCGTTTCAGGCTGCACCGGAACAAGGCGAACAATAAAATAAAGAGAAAATAAAAACGACGCAGCCTCTCGCTCGCACTCTTTATCATTTTGCATGTGAGTGTGTGCACGCGCAACGATTTTTTTCCTTTTGCCGACGACATTGTGTGCCGACTCTGTTTGTGACAGCCGTCGGAATACAAAAGGAATTTTTATCAATGCCGCACCAAGGACTTTGCGCCCGGCTGCTCGCCCATTCAAAGTGCCAATAAAACTGCCGACATCATTATAATATCGTGTGCGTGTCGGCACTTATTATTATTTGTCAATCAGCAACAGCTTTAAACGCGCAATTTCCTTTGCCGGCGAGCAATAAGACCGTGCAAAACGGCTGCCTTTTCCAGCACTTTCGCCGCCGCCGAATGTCAATTACAGCGCCCCTAAAAATTTCCTTCACTTTGGACCGGTCTCTTTGAAGCGTTCATTCTCTTTCTAAAATAAAAATGCCACTCTTCATCAGAGGAGACACATCAACAAGTATTGATGCCGGGGACAGTCGCGCGCCTCCACTCATCTCTCTCTCGTTTTTCGTTCTTTCTTTCCCAAGGATAGAAATCAGCAGGATCGAGTGGATAGCGCGCTGTCAATTTTCCTTCTAAAATTCCATCTCAATCTTCGCGAGATTTCAAAGAGGCGCGAAGACGCTTGAGCTTCTTCTTCGTGCTCGCTCACTCTTCACTCTCTCTGAATGGCGCAACTAACTGCCGAGAGAGACGGAAATTGATTGACTGCTCTATCTGCATATATTTGCCTCGATTCAAAGGGAGATTGTTGAGGAAATTTCGCAGGCACGGAATGAGACTCGAGAGAAAATGGAACGCGAAAGAAAATCGTGACAGAGGCAATTTCATTCCTCCTTCTCGCTGGCGCCAATTTCACTTTTGTTCTACTGACCTCTTTGAGTTTTTATTATTCCCCGTTTATTTTTAGTTTCCTTGTTTGAGTAAAATTTTATAGTTTTTATACAACATTTTTCACAGAACGACATGTGGGGTGGAAAGTTCTCGCTTGTATATGATTAAATTAAAAATTGATAATAAAAAATTAGCCACTTTTCTAAATTTTCTAGGTGAAACAAATTATATTTATTCTTTAGTATTATTTGCACGTTTAAACTTAAGTACCAACCATAATTTATAAAAAGGTAAGTAAATTATTGTTATTTTTTTTTATATCAAACTACTTTTTAAAATAGGGTATACTATTAATTTTATTATTGTGTTATGTTAATAATAAAATAATACAAATATTAATTGTAATATGTGACGAAACATACTTTCCAACTTAATTTTGAACCAATAACTAAATACTTAAATTAGGAACACTAAAGACTAATTATATTATAATTTTATGATGTTGAAAAAAATTATCTTGGAGTGATAACAACATTATATCATTGTCTTTGGATAAATAATCTTCTTGCAAAATATCATCAAATTTTTTTTTATTCATAGAAGTGCAAAAATATTATCTAAGAATTTTTAAGAATTTAGGTGAACGGGGACGCTCAAGCTACAGTTCCTAAAACGCGGATATCATCCTCTATTTTTACTTTTCCATCGCGCAGCGAGTGTTCAAAGGATAGAAATGAATGTGAGGTCGCTGAGGAAAATCACAATTGCTGAAAAAAATCCGCTGCTCCGATTGCGCCGCTCCCGAACTTGCTCACATAAAGATAAATTTTGGGCCTGTGCATAATTTCCCACGAGTGAGATTTTTTAGAGTTATTCCGGTAGATTATCCTCGGGCTCTCTTTTGCCGTTCGCCTACTCGGGGAGCGGCATAAACCAACACTAAACATGTCATTCATAAAAGAATCTTTGACGACTCGGCCGCGCATCCGGCGCTGGGGAGATATTTCTCTCTCTCTCTCGGCTCAAAACTTTTTATATGAATTTTAATGCCACCCAAGAGGATACACCGCCTCGGAATTGAATTTATTATTTCCCGCTCGCTTCTCCGAGCTTTATTCTTTTCCTCTCTCCCGCGTGTATACCCCTTTGATTCTATCAACAACTTACCGAGTGACACACAAGTATGCTTTCGAACAGTGAAGCCTTTCCGCGCAATTAAGCTTCCTATATGCTATACTGCAAACAAACTTTGCCCCGCAAAAACACAATATGTATCACGCTTATTCCGAATCGGAAAGTTTTGCAGTGCGGTTCTCCGGGAGAACAACTTGTTATTTCCTCGGCCTTGCAAGAGCCGCTGGCAATCTTCTCACGTCCATATTGTTGCAGCAAGCATATTGCACTCAAACTTGGCGAGATGAGCGGCGTCGCTAATTAAAACGAGTTCTAATTAAAAACTTCCGTGCGCGTAATTTCATTAATTCTCCTCTTCCGAACACAATATCACGGGTGCTTTTTGAAGTTCACTTTACCGTTATCTAACGCGCGGAAAAACTCTGGACACGAGAGCGACGACGGGTCGCTTGAAAGCAGGCTTATTATAAAGTAAGTCTGCAACCTGCACGACATCTCGGCTTTGCGTGTTGCATCTCGTAAGACAGACATGCTGAAAGAACCGTCTCATATTATAATCCCACAAAGTAGAATCTGAATTAGAAAGAACTTTGTGAAAATGTTGGTAAAAAAATTATTGTGAGGTTAGAAAAATAAATAATAACTATAAATATTGTGAAAACATTTTATTGCCTTTCAATAGCAGAGATTTAATGAATAAGCAGAGAGATCAAATAAAAATCAGTGGTGTAATAAATATTCCACTAAAGAAAAAGGAAGGATATGAAAAAATGAAGGGAAAAAAGCATGAGGAATTTAAAAGTTATGGGTGTCAATTTGCACTAAAATTTTAAATAAATGAGGGAAATAAATTTATATTTTAATTTTCACAAATTCTTGGAAATTAAAATGGTTGGCAGATTCTGTGCAAATATTTTTTGTTTCTTTTATTATTATACAAATTAAATTTCTGATAGAAGATCAAGAATCAAAGAGAGAAAGTAGAAAAATAAGTTAAGTTAACCAATTTTCAAATTCACGCAGAAGGCAAAATAAGACTAAAATTTCACAATTTCTGCAGGTATTTTCTTTGATTTACTGCAAAATGATGACGGTTAGCCGATGTGCACTCTTCTGCATCACAAACAAGCAGCGAATCTTGCTAGGCTAAATAAGTAATACACTTCCAATGGCTCCAACTCTTCTTAGCACACTAAGAGCTTCTAATGGAATCCACGTAAGTGGCAAAGCAATAACAAAACCGTCACTCTGCATGATACTTTGAGTTTCCACGCGATCGTTTGTCAATTAATTAACGCTGGCGGCGATTGGTCGGCACTGAGTAGCTCTCATGTTTCCGCGAGTATGTCCATTAAAAGTGTCGTCAGGCAGCTATTAGTGAAAGGTGCCGATGAATTGTTAACGACGCGAAGTGCTAGTTGGATGCAGCCGGAGCGGAAAGAGAGACAAACGAGTTGTGACAACCGGCGGCACAGAGAGATGCTTGTTGCGAATCTTTTTCTCTCTCCACTCGGAGAGCGAGTGGCTGTGTGTAGGAGTGATCTATATATGTGTGTGTGCTTTCAGGAAAGGGAACACCTGATCAAAAGCGCAGGCCAAAGAGCGTGTTTCCACTAATAATGAATTAGTCTCCTGCAACTTTTATGTCCCATCCATGCGTCACAGTGTTTGCAGCAGAAGCTATGTACGTACATTTGGCGCCAAGGGCTTGATGCTTGGTAGATCCTGAATTGCGGGAATTAAATTTGAAGAACTTGTTTAAAAGATAGACTTCAAAAGTGTTGCAGGGTTGGACTTAATTCTATTCTATTCTAATTGCGCTAGAATAGTTTGGAATAATCATTTTGTATTTTCACTTTCAAATTTTAAATTACAGAAGAAAAAAAAGTAAAAAAAAAAACAATTTTACTTGAGCCTAATTTTTATTAGATAATGGAAGGATATAATAAATTTATTGTAATTTCAATTAATTTTTAATTTTTGGCAACAATTGGCAAGGGAAAAATATTAAATTACATAATTTTAATAACATATTTAATAATTTAGCTTTTTCTTTCATAATATTATATTTTATTTTATAATTTAAAAAAAATGCAAAATATTTCTTGAATCTAATTTGTGTAATTTGTAATGAATAATGTTTGGATAAAATGAATAATATTATTCGAATTCTATTCTCTTACTTTGCACAGGTTCTTCAACCCAATATTCAGTCTTCAAATTATTTACATATATCAATTTTTTCTATTTTGAAGACAAAATAGAAACGCGGAGGGAGAGAGTTGAATCGGACACTTCATTCATAAATACAATCACAAAATTGACTTTTGATTAATCTGATGTGAGGCGGAAGGTGAGAAAATCGTGACTAAAATTCGCAGCCTCTAAGGCTAGTCTCGCGACCGCATGTTCACTCTGGTTCACTCTTCACTCGAACTTTTTTGGCAGTTGTAGGTATTCTTTGCAAATGTAGGCAACTAAACAAAATAAAAACACTGTAAAGTTTAAAATTTGGCCACTACTAAAATCCAAAATTGAATAATTTTGAAATTTAAAATACAATTTCTTGCACTTTAAGACACTGAAAATCAGAATTATTCACATAACTTGTTGAATTCATTGCAAATGTGAAAATTTGTTTTGCTGGTACGACTTTATTGTTGTTACAGCTGGTTCCAGCCTCCTTCCCGCCAGCCAAGTTCAATTGGAAATTGGACTAATCGTTCGTTGTGTGTTCGTTCGTACTTTGTGCCAAGCTTTGTGCTTTCTCTGGAAACTTAAAGATGTTTTTGTTTAAAAAGAAATGTTTACGGACCGATATCGTGCTTCAAGAACGAAGGAGGCCCTGAGGCCTGGGCCAAAGACGGGGTTTTGGGCTTCCAAGTTCAAACGTGTTCCCAAAACCGACCAGATCACCAGAGTCTCCCGTAAGGTACGTACAAAGTGAAAGTGGATGCTAATGACAAAAACATTTATTTTTCACGCCTCATGATTGCCTCAAACGGATTGCCTCTGAAAATTTGGACAATTTTTTTTTTTGATAATTATTCAGTCACCATTCCTCTTACTAAATCAGTTAATTTCGGTTTCAGTCGGTGGAGCTGCAGAACACTCACGGTTTCGACTCTGCAGAAAGGGAACATTTTGAAAACAGCCCCCAATCAGGAATACAAACCCCTTCATCATCAGCCAGTCGGACATCATGGAGGCACCTTGCTCAAGACCAGCCAGTGCATGATTTTCAATAAGGTCAGTGGCTTGTTTTGTTAATTTTAAATCTAAATTGACCATGTACTCTTTTGCAATTTGTGGGGTGAAAAAATGCATTCACTAATTTCTGATGAATATTCATGTTTTCTAAAATATCAATAATATTAAAAAAAACTACATTTAAATTATTATAAGTTACAAAATGACATATTTCAATTTGAACTATTGACGTGTATTTTTTTTTTAATTTTTCATAATTTACATATTTACATGGAACAAATTTTTATCGCAAATTAAATTTAACTAGAAATATGAAACAAAATTGAGATTCTTGGGGGTTGGGAGTATAAACCAGAAACGGAAAGCCCTTAGTTTTATTTGTAAATTTTGTAAAAAAAAACGAGGGACAGTAATGACAGTATTTTTACTCTTGCTCTTATCTTATCTTTGGGATGAGGAAGTGGACGAACGCCCTAGGGTGCGAATTAGGAGGAGTGAGAGTGCCTGTGTCGAGAATCAAAGATATTGCTCTGCTGGCCTGAGTTTCGAAGGCAGCACCGCTCGGGGTGGAGCTGAGCGCTAATTAATTGACAAACTATCGCTCTATCTGCTGTATCGGCGCATTAAGTGCGGGAGCTCACGGCTCTCTCTCTCTCTCTCTCTCTCTCTCTCTCTCTCTCTCTCTCTCTCTCTCTCTCTCTCTCTCTCTCTCTCTCTCTCTCTCTCTCTCTTGCTGGCCGGGTAAACCTCTAATGGACACATGCTGCAGTATGCTGGCCACGGATTTGAGTCTGCCCGCCTATCGCCAATAATATCGCGGCGGCCGGGCAGCTCTCGCATCGCATACGTGACTCGAATGTGTCTCTTTACCCTTATAATGGGCACCCGAAATGAAAAACAAAGGCCAACCCTCGGCTCGGCACGAGATGCTCCGCGCAAAGTGCGTGCCGTTAGGAAAAATGACCGCCGAGGATAATTATCAAAGCTCATCCGAAAATTCCTGTGATATCAACTCGCCGGGAATGACACCAAGGAATTTCATTACCAGCTCTTCAAACGAAAGGCTCCGCAGGGATCTGAATTTGTAGAGGAATTTTAAATAAGATTCCAACACCGTACATAATCGAATTATTTGATAGTGAGGAATGCGTGATTTTGATTAATTTCTATTAAAAAAAAAACAACTAGAGGAAGCCTTTAAATGTGAATAAAGGTTTCGGCCGATTTAATTGACCATTGTCATGAAGAAGGACCCGTTCAAGAAATTAAACTTTCCGATTAGTTGCAATTGACTGTTATTGTTCCGACGATTACTTTTATTAAATCAAATTTAAACTGAAAATGTTTAGAAAAATCGTGTGCATTCCCAATAACAGGAAAAAGTTCTCTATTGAATGTTATCATTACACCAGGAGTGTGCCCGTAAAGCTAAAATATAATGGAGTTCAGCTTAAAGAACTTGAGCTTCGTCTTTTGCCAGTTTGGCTTTCCTTGCTCAGATTACTATAAAGCATTCAATAACTCACATCCAGGAAATCGTGAAATGCTTTCACGTTTATCCTTTTTGATTCTATAATCCTTTTCCTCATTAGTCACAAATAAGCAGATATTTAAAAAAAATTCAGAAAAAAACACCTTTGACAAGAAACATATAAACGTTTTTGACATGAAAAATAGCAAAAAGTGTCGATGTTAATTTATGACACCAGCGCGCCTTTCATATTTCACCGTGTATTTAAACATCAAAAGAATACGTTGACAAAAGCTGCCAATTCGGAGTGGGTTCGCAGCGGGAAATTAAGTGGAGGCCGAAAACGCGCTTCTCTCGCTCCAGCACAAAATGATCAGAGAAGCCTTTGAAGTCGGCCCGTGTGAAAAGAATGCACGTCCCAATAAGACGAAGTGTCAAAGCAGGTGTCACCGGCTGAAAAGAAAGTGGAAAGTGAGCGAGGCCCTCAAATCCGAGGCCGTCCGTTGGCGCAGCACTAAAGGACGGCGCGGGGCATTAAAAGGCAGGAAAATTAAACCATAAAGTGCACCGAAGGCCACCAGTAAAAATGAGTCTCGCGCTAAAATGATACTGTCTTATTATTATGGTCGATATATTCCTGCGAGAAAAGGCGTGGACGGCCCTGCTCGAATAAATTTCGATGAAATCCCGCTGAAAGAAATAACTCGCGAGAAAGGGTCGCGTATAATACTTTGGCCCTTTTTTATTACATACGACTGCGAATGGTTTAGAAATTGATTTCTGTGCCGCAGATTTAATCACACTCCTTCCTCGTCGCCGGATGCTGCGTCCGCGGGGAAATATTTCACGCCCCCGCAGCCCGTGTCGAAACTGCGCCGCTTATTACCGCCCGGATTTAGTCAATTCGCGTGATTATTGTTGGCTGACAGCTCTGCCGCTTTTATTAAAAGCCATCCATATTGATGGTTCGGAACGCAGGCGACAGAAATGCACAGCGCAGATATCAGAATTTACATGTGAGCGAAATCGAGCTGACTTTTATGCATATCGCTCACTTTATCGCCGCACTCTGCCATGCCAGAAATGCATGTGCTGCTCGTTTGAGCTATTCTGCTCTATTAAACGTTGCGGTTTTTCCATTTAACGGTCGAATTATGCGCTGTATATTGAAAAACGCAAGTCAACCGATTCGGTTTATTTGATATGAAACCTCACAATTTTTTATAGAACATTAACAAATTTGATATTGCAAAATCTGATGGTGAAAAATTACTTATTGAAGTAAAAAGAAAAATGACGAATTTATCATTGTTAAACTTTTACTACCTCATTTGAAAATTATACAGTTTTCAACTTTGGCTTCACAAACTCGCAGCAGATTTAGCTGGCTCCGTTGCTATTTTTCCTCTCTCTCTTTTTTCAATCTTGCAGGTCTCGGCACAAATCTGTGTGGAAGGTCTAGTCTTTTTTTTAACTAACACACAACAAATCATAGAACATTCCGTGTCCAGCAAGTAAATAAGTTCATCTTATTCGGAGTTTGGCCTTTGACATTCTGTTAACCTTTAACCATTTGTGTTGCGATATCCAACAATGAAATAATGAGATATCAATTTGGTAAGCATGAGAGAGGCATTGAGTGTTGCGGCCCATTAATCTAAATGCTTGCCAGAGGTAACAATACAGAGGCTTGTTTGTATTTTTTTATGTAAATATTAAAACACTGCCGTGCCAAAAATAATATAATTAACAGTAATTTTTCGTTATAATAAGCTCATTGATTATTCAGAAAGCAATCTTTGCAGCCAAAAAGCTGTTTTCACATAATCAACAGGACAAATTACTTGCTATTCATTAAAGGTGCAAACTTGTGGAGAAAATGACTATAAACGTCACGATCAAAAAATAAAATAAATGTCTACTCTTGATGGAAACAATATTTGATTTAAAAAATGTTACTTATTTAAAATAAAATTTTTATAAATTTTTGATTTTTGAAATAAAAATATAAAAGGCAAAGATAGAGAAGTGCCACAGAACACTAAACTTTTCACTAAAAATTATATACATTAATCGACTTTTTAAATTAACTTTTACTTTTTAATTTGCTGCAGAAACCATGCCAATTGAAAGGCATAGCCCTGAGTTTTATTGAAATATGAATTATATTTGGCAAAAAAAAAGAACACGTCCATCCGAAATGACGCAATATTCGAACAAACGTGACGTTTTTTGCGTGGTGTCTACCGAACCTAATAAATTCAAATGAATAGAAAAAAATTCCTGGTCTAGTTACGCAACAACACACGATTATTAATTAATGATTACTGGCTGCCAATAAATGAGCTTGTCAAAAGCAGTGCCGCTCAGCGACCTACGAATAACGCAGGAAAAAAGGGTGCTCTTGCGCCGAGTGTTAATGATGCCGAATCAATTCGTGCCCTTTGAAATCGTAATCCGCACTTGTTTCCTGACAGTTGTACTTTATGGCTGACCCTCGGGCCGGGATATTTTTTCGCAATCACGACCCTGCTGGCGCCATCAACTTTTCAACTCAATAATTCAACTTTCTGTTGGTGTGTGTGTGCGCTGTGCGGTTTGCCCCCAGGTAAAAAATTTCATACGCACTGCAGCTTTTTTGCCGCGAGCGCATGATTTATTTTTCCGAATTCCTCCGACTTGGCCACTTTTTGCACAAGCTTCCTCCATTTCGAATTCATGGCTGCGAATTAATGCATCGCCCGGTGCTCTTTCATTTATTTGTGAACGGTCAGTGGTTGGTTTTTGCTCGGCCGTCTCTCAAAAAGGGCAAGGTAGAACAATTTTATGCCTCGCGGGTACAGCAAGGGTTTTCGGAAATTAAAGCGTCCTCTACTATGCCTCACTAAATAATATGACTATTTCAAGTAGTTACCTACTCATCTAAAATGCCACTCAAAACGTTTGAAGGCACAAAAATCTTCGCAAAAAATGAAAAACGCTGTTTGCAATAATCAATTTCAATGGCTTCTTAGAATAAATCTTTCAATTCTCAAGGCAGAAAATTTTATATATTTTTATTTACTCATGCTAGATTAATTTAAAAATTCATATTTGCAATTTAAGTTGACCTGATACACATTTATTTGAGCATCACACAATACAAAAAAAAAAAGAAATAAAACAATAATAATCCTGCGGGTGTCTTTGCAATTTTTGATCTTGACAAATCGATTACTCCCTTCATGATTTGGCTTTTGCAAATTTTAAAAAGTGATGTGAATTTTTACCAATTATGGCCGTTAAAGATTTTCTTTTGCGATTGGCTTGAAGATGAAGCGTAAGGCCGATTTCTCAAGGGGCTTTTTATGTTTACCTGTCCAGATATATAGTATTGAGTTGGATACTCAATAAAAGTGATGATGTTTGCCTCTCGCAAAAGCAGCCCATATTTGAATAAAATCGATTCGCCGAAGAAGCAAAAGACGCACACATGCCTATGGTATAGAACGCCAACGTATTCTATTTATGAAACAAGCCACGTCGGTCGTTGGGCAAAGCGAGACTGGGAAAACGGCTGGCTCAACACGGTATTGTTTGCGGTCACCAGATACAAAGAAACAGGTAACCAGAAAACATGTTTTCATAGAAAATTCTTGAAACAGGTTTAGGCTTTGTTGTTAATTGGTTTTGAATAAAATTCATGGTGAATTCCCCCAGTCTTTTTATTGTTAGCGTGATTATGTGAAATTAATAACTAATTCAACTAATTCTTAGTATGTTGTGCATATCACTTTTATGAGCTAAAAACCATTTACAAATAGGTATTCCTATATTTTTTAATATCTTCTCTTTATGTATATCATATTATTTAGAAATATCTTAAATTTGGGCGCCTTTTACAATTAATTAAATTTTACGCAAAATTCCATGATGTTTTTTTCTTGAGTTCAATTTATTTACTATTTTTTAGGATCTACAATAATTTAATTGAAATTTAACATTTTTATCTTTATTTTGTTTTATTGATTTTACAATGCATAGCATAACACACAACACTTAAAATTACAAAAATCTCAGATCATTTGGCCCTTTGCTACTATAGCTCTCAGCTTGCTTTAGAATCCTTTGCCATGGGGTTCAACCTCTGGTCCAATGATGACTTCGGTGCGCATGCAAATTAGATTCTGCGTACTATCGCTGTGAAGCTTCCACGTCAGGGTTCCTTCAATCTAAGAACACATAATGAATTTCAATTTTTTAATTATTGGAAGTTCACAAGTATGAAATATCGATTGCACTTTTACCACAACTGTCGTACATAAAAAGTATGCCTATATTTGTGAGTACTTTCATACTTTTCAAAACTTATTCTGACTTCTCTTCAAAATTATTTTAGAATTTAATAAATCGACATTTTTTTGTATAGCGTGTTTTTAAATTTAATTCAAAAAGTTTTTAATTCATTAAATATTAATGTAACACAATTTGATAGCCGATATCAACCATTGATTATCTGATCGTTAATTTTAAACAGAATTGCCTAACTTGAACTTACGAGTGCCAAATTGGGGCTGACAACGAGTTTGGCTTTGTACAAGGCATTCTGTCCAGGCACGATGGGGCACACTGGGTACAGGAGGGCCCTGCAATCGTCTGGAGTCACCACAAGGTGGGTGTCCACGTTGAACTGGGTGATGAAGACGTTCGGCCGGAGCTGCTCGCTTCTGAAACCTAATGCGATTCAAAACTCCCAACTGGTTCCAATAAGGCGTGCAAAAGCAGACGAGAGAAAGGCCATGGTAATCCGGCCGACTTTATTGTCTCGGAGCAGCTCTCGTCGTGGATAAGGCCACGCGCGCTGATTTACAATATCTCCGCCACCAGCGGTGGTGGCGGCGGCAATTTTGGTAATCCTCTTTTGCCTTTATGCTTTATCGAATTCAATTCAGCGTGAAATACTCGGAGGTTTGCCGAATCTGCCTCTCTCCATTTTTTCCGGCACTTGCCTGACTGGAAGCGGATGGTGACGTTAACCTCTTGTCCACGCAGCAGCGGGCACGGCTCCGTACTGACGTCGCACCCGTCAATGTCCACTGCGTCCAGCGAGTACAGGGAACCTAATTACAAAAAGTTAAAATTTATAATAAAATTAATTAAATAATTTTACTTATCCGAGTATAAAAAAATTAAATTAATTTTTTTGTATTTTTAATTACAATGTGCAGCTTATTCTAAGAAAACAGATGTTCCGTTGATCACCATTCAATTAAAAAAGTAAAATTTAATTAAATATCTTTCAGCAAAATACTGAAAATACTTAAAATATTTTTTACACTTTGAAATTTTTATTTTAATTGTTTTTCTTGCCAGTTGTAATGAAATTTACTTTTTGTTAAAATTATTTCAATTGTATTGTGAATTCCCAAGCATAATATTGTTTGAATACGTTCGATTCTTGTAAAGGTTATCAGATGAGTAATATTATAGCGAATACTCTTGAGAAATCAATCCAAATGCGCGACAATTTTTTTCATTTTCATTCTTGACAATGCTATTCGATGCCGCTCAAAATAATGTGTTTGGTGGCCGGGATGGAATAATCCAAATAATCGGAAACCAATATCGTGTGATCATTATTGGAATATTATACACATATTGGTTCGCCGCAGACGCAAACAGTTCAATATCATTCGCGGCGGTTCGCAAGGGAAATCACCCGGATTAAAGACGTCCGTGCGGTCCATTAGAACTGGAGGAAGAAATAATCTCATAATTGAAATGCGACGTTTTGCATTCTACGAACGATAGAAATAATGTGATCTACTTCGTGATTATACACAATTTTTCAATGCAAGAGACTAGTTCGGCTCAGTGGATGCAATTTCAATTTAATTTGCGCTGCGCACGCGACTAGATCCAAATGAAAGTTTAATGAGAAATCCTACCACAGTCCTCGAAAGAGACGCTCGCGGCGCTGGCTGCGAAAATCAGCAGCGAAATTAAAACCAGTTGACTTGACATGGCGTCCAATTAGCAAATACTCGAAAGCATTGACAGTTCACCTCATTTATAACAAGCGGGGCCCGATAAGATTTAATTTGCGCCTCCGCTTGACAATCTAATCTGCCGGTGCTGATCTCAAGGCGTCTTTTTATCTCGACGCTCTGCCACCCGGCGCCCGAGGGTGGATTTACAATTCTGAGAGCTGAGGATTATTCGCGAAGCGCGGTGTGTTCCAAATCACGACGCTGCCGAAATTATCTGTCGGAGAGAAACGGTGAGATCACGCTCTTATCGAAGAAAGCGTTGATTTTGGTTTGACTGATGTTTTGGAGAGGTGGCGGCAAACTGATTATTTGCTGCTCATTCGAGTACGTACGCTACTACACTTGTAAAATTAGCTGCGAGTACTTATCATTGTTTTTGAGTCCTTCTCCTTGCTGTCAACTGGTTTGTTATTATGAGGAAAGGTTATTGATTGATGCTATCGCGACACGACGTTTTTTTTAATTACTAATAATTAACAGCAAAAAATAGTAAAAAAGTAACCAAAAAACAAAATTAAACAATTTTTAATTTTGATTTTTTTTAAAAGTAAATATATTTTCGATGTTTTCAAGGTAATAAATATTCTCCAATTAATGAGGAAGAAAATAGCGTGCTCTTTGTGTTAATGTCAATAGCCAATCCACTTTTTTGAAAATTTTAAAGTCATATTTGAAGGATATCAGCGCAAGAAATGCGCAGTTAACAGACTCCACTTTTAGTTGTAATCGAGTGATAAGTTCCCATTATTGAATCTAAGTAGTCCTGTGTCAATTGACAGATAACAATTAGCTATTTATTTTATAAAATTTCCTACCAGTTAAGGAAATAAAATAGAGAATTGAGATTTTTGTTTTGAAACAAAGTCATTTTAAAAGAGATCAACCACAGAATTTAATAATAAATTGTATAAGAAGATCTTCTGCTGGAGTAACAAATCTTTTCCTATCTTGGATGCCAACTAAAAGTGCTGCCAAGCATGGAAGTTTAAAAAATAATTAAAAAATTGTATGCTCCCTATTTAGTAAATTATCATCCTGAACGATAAGAATATATATTGAATTTTTTTATTATAATCGTGAAAATTTTGCAAACTTTTTTATATCTTCAGCAATCTTCAGACTTAAAAAGACGCCCTCTGTAGTGGGATCAATTAGACATTCTAAAAATATAATCATGGCACTGGAATCCAGTGACTGGATAATGAATCACAAAACATTCATAATGCTTAATATCCAAGCTTGAAAAATGACTTTTTTGAAAATTCTTTCAGAAACTGTTAAAATAAAGAATAATAATTATTAAATTTTTTCAATCTCCTTCCCAGCTCCTTTATAAATATGCTCAATTGACGATTGTGATTTTATTTCCTAAGCTCAATTTATCATGTGCCAATCAATGAGATGAGGAAAATTGCATCCTTGATCCTTCATTTCCATAACCAGGGTTGCGATTGTCACCGTTTGGAAAAGTTTGGATCAATTTTGTTGCCTGCGCCAATCAAAGGGGACAAGATACGCTAACTAACTTTGGAAGATGATATTGTTGTCTGCTTGCAAGCAGAGCGAAGGGCGTCATTTTGCAATTGAAGCCTCCAAGATTGATCGCGTATCTTAAGTTTCCGCCGGCGAAATATGATGTAGTGATGGCTTGTAATTGATGATGACGCCCCAGCCAGCCACTTGGGCAAAGTACGGCGGAAAAGTTGGTGCCAAGAGTCTGAAACTTTTCCCCTCTCTCTTGATAAATACGCCGGGCGCGCGTGTGTGAGTGTTGTGACAATTAGCTGCGCGCGAATTGCTTGATCTAGATCGGCCAAGAAGTGCTTCTTTCTTTTCCACCGTGTGCCCTCTCGACTTATCAGCCCTCGAGCCGCACTGACATCATAGACGAATCTGGGGCTCCAGTCAAGTGTGCCGGCCAACAAGCCAACTCGCAACTCTCTGAAGAGCACGTAATTGTGCGCAATCAGGACCTCGCATTTCCCTCTTTGGAAAGTGCGGCGGCACAAAGTCCAAGTGATTCACTCGAGCATCTGATGCACATCTAGCGACTTTTCCAGAGCTGCTAGACCCTATCAAAGTGCCATAGTTCAACGTACACTAATTAATTCTGTCACAAAACGATATCATCAGGTCGTCAAGTCGTTAAAGATGCTCTCAAGTTTTGATGAAATCTCAAATTAATTCTGATAGCATAAACAAGCGGCGCAATAAGGTTTATTGGAATTTAGAAAATGAAGGGCCGTATTTAAAAATCTAGATTATTTTTGGCTTCGTCCTGCTATCAACTAGAAAAAGTTATTTTACTTAGTAAAAGACTGCCTGTTGCATTTTTTTAAATGATCAAGAGATAGAAATAATGAGTAATTAATTTAAAAAATTATCAGAAGAAAAAAAATTTCCCTCCAAACTTTGTAAATTTAGGCCTTGCTATTTAACTCCTAGGGATGGCAGGAGCTACTCAAACCTGCTGCTATACTTTACAAGACTCAACAATACCTTTTCGTCTCTTGTTGTCTCTCTGACAAAGTTTTCACCAAAAGGGGATGAAAGTGGAGAAAATGAAAAGCATGAGAGAGAGGCAAAGTAGTTGGCTGGTTGGCAGCTCTTAATTTTATTTCGAGGTGCGTTGTTCATCAGAGGCAAATAAGTTGCAAATGTGGCTCCGTCGGCGCTAATTAGGCTAGAGAGAGAAAGAACGAGCTTTCGTGCGTGGATTTCTCCGACAATGTGTGCGTCGTCAAAAAGTTGTCGCCCGCGGTGAATTGCAAAGTTGCGCCCAGCCATCCACTTCAGAATACACAACAGTCTTCATTTTTGCACAAAGTCCGACACTTTTACGAGGTAATTCTGGACTGCACCTTGAAACAGTGAATGCCTCTTTCCGGTTCTTGGTCAGGCTTCTCATTCAGCGCCCACAACACTTCCACTTTGATCTGTAAAAGATTTTTATGCAAATTTAAAATAATTTGAACGCCTGCTTTATCATTAATTTAATTAATTTTAACCCCAGAAAAATATATTCCAGATATATATTGATCTGAAAACTGAAGGAAGAAACGCAGTAATTATTATTTATTGAGATGAATTAAGAAAAAAACGTTTCCTATGGTGTATTATCAGTATTGTTTTTTTATGAACCCAAAAATTAATTAATTGAACCACTTGACTCTTTTGTTATCTTGCTAATCCTATAAATCACGCATAAGAAGCGTGTCTTCGTAAAAAATGATCTTGACTAATCCAAATGATAATCACTAAATAAGCTTGATTGCAAATTGTGCTGATTTCTGCGTCACTAATCTTACAGAGGTTACAAAAGAGAACGTATATTTATATTGAGTAATCGCGTACCATTGTTGACTGATTACGAGTGATAATGAATCATATAAAAACGACATTCAAAGTTCAAAACTCGCCTTGGGGTAGATTTCCAGGATTTCAAACTCGTTCTTGTAAACGTATTCGTTGCCAGCTTTGAGAGGACACCCGGCCTTGCTGCCGTCGGGATTGAACATGTAAAGGCAAGCGTTGGTTTGGTCTACTCCGACAAAGGGTAGAGGCAGTCCCAGGATGATGCCGAAAACTGACGTGGTTAGGAATGGAATGTCTTTCTCTGCAAAATTAATTATTTGGTTAAAAATTTGAAAATTTATTAATTAAATTAATTTTTTTATATAAGACACAATATTTACATCGTAAACATTTAAAAAAAGTATATTTTTCAGCGCCAAAATATTGAAAGGTTTAATAATTTCAAGAGTGTATCTCGTTTTTAAAATTCAAATCAACTAACTGAAAAAAAAATAATGAGTGGATGAGACAACAAGATTTTTTTCCTCGGCGTTCTAGAAAAAAATTCTCATTACTGCACTCTGCTGTTACAACTTGCAAGGTCGAGCATCTCAAGAGCATCCTTTCTAGCAATCAATATTAATGGCGACTCGCTAATGGATATGAATGCAATAAAATACATAAACACAAAGTAACCATAGTATACAATGAAATTAATCCCACATCCCACCATTGAGAATAATTAACTATAAATAAATAACTATTATTTTTCCGCACTGAAATGAATTTTTCATGCTCCTCAAAGGAAGTACCGGTGGAGTGGCTTTGGTATTATTTTCAGAAAGCGTGAAAATTCGGCACCCAAAAGGATAGATTTGATGCGGGCGATGCATTCGGGTTGGCCAGCAAAGCGTGAAGGTCTCTCTGGCCAGGCATCCATCATTTCGACCCGCTTGCGGCTGCACACAAGATCTTGAGCCGGGCAGGCCATTCGTTCATCCATCCATAATGCACAGCGTGGCCTGATATTTAATTCACAAATTGCCAAATATGCTGCTGCAGCGGGTGCGCAACTCAAAACCTCAATTCCGATAATTGCAGAAACATGGCAGTAGCGGCATTTAATTATTACATAGTCGAAAGTGTTACCTCAAGGCCAAACATATAATTAAAGTGGTGCTCTCAAGATTGGGATTACAAAATCGAAGCAAAAAATAACTAATTAAAAAATATAATTTTATAATTCCTCGGTGAAAATATTATTTTACTTAAAGGAAAGAACATTTACGTAAATTTTTACTTTTTTATTGATTTCTTAAGAAACATAAAAATTTTATATTTTATAGTTAGTTATAAAAATTATATTTTAGTGTGATATCAAAAATGAAATTTAAAAATGTAATTATCACACATTTATTTAAATTATTAAAAAAAAAAATCAAAATTGTGATATTCACTATTTTAAACACATCATAATATTACCTGGCCGAAGTTTGATGCTGACGCCAACTTTGGTCTTCTGCTTCAGTTTGCATGGTGGCGCAGTGCAATTGGTGATTTGCACATCGTCGCTCAAATATTTGACTCCTGCAATCACACAGAAGTCAACAAATTAAAGGTGATTATATGCAGGAATGGTGAGCAATATTAGCGCAAGTGACGAGCACTTTATTAAAGAGGCCTTTGCGTGATTCCCAAGCCAAATTAAACCAACTCGACGGTGAGCATTTTCGTTTGTGACCTTGGTTTAATGACTGAATAAACAAGTTTTTTTTGTGCATCGCTCTTGACGTAAAACTTTTTGCCTGAAAACAAAGTCAGCCTCTCATGAGTCATGAGAACACTAAAAATTAATAAATATAAATAAAAGTTTCTGCATGAGAAATTTTGTGCATAAGTAAATTACAAAATTCCCTTGGAAAGGGGAGAGACTTGAGAATGGGGTGTATTAAAAAAACTATATTTTAGAAATAATATTTCTGCGGTTTATAAACTAAAAAAATGCTGTTTTAAATTTTTTTCACTCTTATAAATTATTTTTTACATCTTGATTATTATTTTAAATTTATAAATTATTGTTAATACTATGGAAAGGAAATTCCAGAAATACTTGATAATAATAATAAAAAAGAACATGTTCTATTTTTATTTTCTAACATAATCTTCATAATGTTGGCACAGCTCTTTCTCTTTTCATATATAGAGAAAAGTTTAAAAAAAATTTCTTGTAAAAAAAGTGACATTAAATGTTATTAAAAAAAAAAAATAAGAGATTATGATTGATTATGATTTTGATTTGGTTGCAAATTTCAGATTTAATTCGTTTCATTCCTTTTGCAATTCTGTATCTATTCAAAATCAGTAACAGGAAATTTATGCCAAATTATGCGTGGGTGCCCAGCTTTGAACATTTCAATGACATAAATGCTTTTGAATTTGGTATTTCCTGATGCGATATGCGTATATAAAAATAGAAAATGCGTCATTTCGCGATTGTTTCTAAAGAAGCGCCGAATGTAGCATAATACTAGGAAGCGATTAAAATTTGTATCCAAGCGTCGAAGAATGTTAAATTACAATGCATGAAGTCAAAAAGGAGCCACGTCGAGTCACTCTTTGCCGGAAGGTGTCGTCGCCGCGGCCGTGAACCACAAATATGGAATGAGCATCGAGCGTGACTGAATTACCAACAAGCTTAAATTCTTGTAAAGCAGAGTAACAAAAACAAATACAGGTCCATAGTAAGAAAAGCACAAGCTCGGGGGATAATTTTCTTTCCGCACACTTTGTACGAAGCCTGCAGGCATAAAAAAAGTAAAAATAAGCTCCGCTTGGCAAAGACAGCTAGCGCTGCAGATTGGATTTCTTTAATTGAGCTCGCCCAACGACAATTACGGTGCAGAGAAAACTGTACGGGACAGGTCTTTAATCACATATTGTAAAAAGCAGCACATACAACCGGCAGAAGAAATTATCTTCCTCGCAAGTCGCTGGCAAAGTTCAATAATTTTTATTTTAATACTTAATATATATTTTTTTTAATTTTGCAAAAAGGATTAAACTTAAATTTTGCAGTGTCAAATAATATGTGGCAAAATAATTCTCTTTTAATTTTCAATGGGATTTATTAGCTCCAGCAACCAAAAGAGTATTCATTGTTTTGTAAACATTTTCTAATCATCAGTGTCATATTAGGTGAATATATATATACAAGTTACAAATTGTGTCACTTTCATAACACTAACTTCCATAAGCTTTCTCCAAAGCAATCACTTGCCACTCACAGTCTAACAATAAATTCACTAGAATTTTCTATCTAGGCACGAATTTCGATAAAAAAAATAATAAATAAAGGAAAAGAACAAGTTTATATGAATACTAAAAAATTTACTATCAAATAAATAAATAAATTTAACAATAAGATAATAAAAAATACATATTTTGTAAAAACGAAGGCATTTTTTGATACCTTGCCTGCAGGATCTGACTGATGTCGCATTGGCGACGTAGACGATGGCCAGAAGCAAGAGAAGTCGCTTCATGATGTTGTCGCAGTCGGTGCAAAACTAAATCCAACTCGTCTGCCGTGCAGGCTGACTCAGGTTTCCCCACCCTGAACCTGGCGGCGAAAGGCCGTCGAGTGGAACACCTTCGTTCAAAATGCACCGCAAACCGCTCATTAACACTTTTGGTCTAGAGGAAATCTTAATTAATATTGACACGCTTGACTGATGCCGTTTCTAAATGGGCGCTTCTCGTATATTCCGAGAAAAAAAATAATTAACTTTTTTTAAATTCAGCTAACTCGGCACTATGTTACAATTAAAGCAAACATAATGGTGATTAGCGCTTTTCACCAAAATTTTTAGTCACAAAATCTTAAAATTTTGGATGAATTTAGAATAAATTTTATAATGAATTCTGAGTAATTGATATTGTAGGATATTTATGTTAAGAGTTTACATAGAAAAAAGCATTTAATTATAAATTAATCTACTAATTTTTTTATTAAAATTGAGGAAAATTGATTTAAATAAAAAAATGTAATAAAATAATTAAATCATGAAAATAAATCCTTTAAAAACACAAGGTTTAAATAACAGCATAGCACACGCATTAGCTGAAAAAAGGGAAAAAAATAAACGGGGCTGTTGGATTTCAAAACCTTGTTTTTGGAGCTGAGTATGTGACGGGGGCGTCGAGTGCATTAAACATGATGCATTGGACAGCGGCACTATATACTTTCGCCGTCGGCGCCGTCTGCTGAACAACCGACGATAAATAATAAATAAAGCGGCGGCCGCGCAGGTGGCGCAAAATTAATGGCCGCCGGCGAGTGATTCGCAAGGACTCGCGCGCGATTCAATCTGGGCCGAGGTGAAAAATCGGCAAAAAGCAGCGGCGCATCACTTTGTATGGGCTCGGGGCGCCGGTCGTTTAATTTTATTAATAGCCCAGCAGGCAGCGATATTCGGATCGACTCTTTGTGACACCAACATGAAACAGTTATCCATCACATCGGTGTCACCCACCATCAGCAGAGCCACTTTTTGATTAATCATCACTTATTGAAAAATGCCCATTCTATTAATTCCGACTTCATATAATTCAAAATTTCGCTGACAAAGAGAGCGCGCGCGAGAGACTTTCCTCCCCAACACCCTAGACCACCCACCCGTCGCTGAAAAATGATCTGACTGGGTGAAAAGACGGCGTACGCCAGAAGTTTGCATTGAATGGCGCCGACATCGCCCTCAACTGAAGGTAAATAAGAAAGAGCCAGTCGATTCTAACAGGTTTGATCAAAACCTTTGGATAAATAAGTTACAATCACTTTTATAGAATTACACAAGAAACTTAGTACTTTGCTTTTATGTGTAAAAAGTCATAATATTTAAATATTTAAAAAATTTAATTATTATGAAATTCAGAATTAGTAGAATTGCTTGAAATTTTGGCTTGATAAAGTGGATTGAAAATTCCAGTCAAAATTTAATTTCTCTTTCTAATTTTTTTCCCAATTTCTATCTTTTTAAAAATTGATTCCATAAATACATCTTTGCTTTTAAATAACATACATACTTGAAAAATTTACTTATTTTATCAACACTAATTTGGCTGAAATTTGTAATTGTGTGATGATCAAGTTAGAGAGGAAATAGCAGAAATTTAATTTTGAATTCTGGATGATTTTTTTAAGGCAAATTTATCATTTCCTCTTATTCTCTTCCCAATGATTTATTCATGCTTTGATAACTCAGATCGTCAATTTCAAAAGGCAGCCAAGATGCGAACAAACCTGACATTTGATATAGTTAAAATCATTTGTATTGAGCCGAAGGCAAACATTGTTCTTTGTTCGATTGTTCGTAAATCACCCACCGTAAATTGTTTTCACGTCGCACGCACATGAAACCCAACCAGGCGTCTCAACTCTCCGAACGAATACATCAAGGAAATTTAATTCCATCTGCCTTTTGGCAAACTGTTCAAACATGCGTGAATTTACCACATTATCGTAAGAAGTTTGCAACTTTTGAGTAACTCCACATGAGGCAAAATGAAACAAAAGTGGCCGAATTTCCTCAAATTATTATAATTTTCGGTGCTCATAAAATTATCTTCGTCGCGATAATGCTCTCTTGAGATACACGCCTGCAGATGACGACAATCCTTGGCCCTTATAATTGGCCCCTCGACCGCACCATTAATTAGTCACCTTGAGCGTGGCACATTTCTGCCACTTGTAGCTACATTTAATTAGCCAATAAATTGCAACTTGATGGCTGCCCTTTTGTCGATTAATAAATCTCTCGGCGATCAATGAGCGTGTAGCTGCGGTTGTTACATGCAAATGGGTGCTTCTTTTGAGTGGCACTATGAACTGCACCACATTAACTAGAGCACGACATGCAGTTACCCATAAAAATTAATGCAATATTTAATCAATATCGTCGATAATTTTATAGAATTGCTGGTTAAATTCTCAACGTTTAAGCGCTTTTTTTTTTAAATAAATTTCTCTTTTAAAATAAAAGAGGTTTTAAATTTATAGATTTATAATTCGACTTTGTGATGTAACAATATTTATTTAATGTCATTAATTATCTTTGCAATGATACAAATTAAACATTTTTTTCATTTTTTTATTATACCAGTTTTCGATTTGGTTGCTTAAATTATAAAGTTATTAATTTTTATTAATTGGTTTGTCTCTCTTGAAAAAAAATTAAAATTCTCAAGATTATTGCTGTACGATTTTGAATAAAAAAATCTCTGATAGTGATAATTCAATTGTTTTTCATTATTTTAATCACAAAAGCAAATTCGCAATCTTGTTTCGAAAGGTGTGCCTAATAAAAAAGATTTTTTAAATTTAATAATCCAGTATAAGATTTTTTAAGGTTTTATTTTCTTCATAACGGCATTTTACTTTTTCTTCAAGTTTTAAATCTCATTGGTCTTCGTGTGAAGAACAAAAAAAAACTTTGTCTCTTTTGTCTTTCTGTATTGCCAAGCTAGCAGATTTTCCACTGCTTCTTACTACTTCTTGGCTTACAGACTTGCGAATTTCGAGTAATTAGAATGTTGCGAGCCCGGCGCAGAGCAGGCAGATTGTTTGTTTTTGGAAATTAAGTCGCAATTGCCGGCCCTCCAGGATTAGCCGGCAGAATGTGTGCTTCGACTCGGCTTTGCACAATAAAAGCAACCGCAGGCCGAGTCATAAAAAACCGCAGAATTCGACCAGAGTGTTGCGAACCGAGTAATTTCAATATTTCACCACCGCCCCGCCACCAACTCTCCAGCCATGCAGTGGCGAGAAAACGCACACGCACGACGGCTTATGAAGTAGCGAGGAGTGCGAGCCAGATTGGATTCTATGCCCCGGCTGCTGGGGCTGAGCGCGTGGAGATTATGGTGCTTCTGGTAATTTCGGGTGATGCCAAACTATTGGCCACCTAATCCAAACTTACAATGCAAGGGGCAACATGTTCCTGATAAACTTAATGCCGATTCTCATTTCTTCGAAATATTTCAAGAATCAAAGTATTTATGAATAAAAAAAAACTTACACACTCTTTGTTTATATATTCTCCATACAATATACAGTCATGAATACGCAGCTAAAAAACTCAAAAAAAGGTACAGAAAAAGCTGACAATGCTGAAAAGAGACCTATACTGTTTAAGGATGAATAGAGAAATTAACTTTTAAATACATATAATTTTTACGATTAATATATTTTTGTTTCCATAATTTATGTATTTGCTGACTAATTTAAATATTATTGAATAATTTTATCATTATTTTATTTTAAACTATAATGTAATTAACTATTTAAAACTTTAAAATCTTTAATAATTATATATTAATTGTACACCTGCATAATATTTAAGGTAGTAAAAAGTATTACATTTAGTAATTTGCTCCGAATAAAATAATGTGAAGCGTGTGTCACTTCTGTGGAGATATAAACTTAATGTTCGCTCTTCACTCGGCTATTTTATCATCTCATTTATCGAATTCATCTTTTCTACTTCTTTGTGTTGAAGATTTATGCTATTCTATCATACTGACTCGTGAATATTCTGACCCGTTTTGTTTAAACAAGTAAGATTTGGTTACACGTTTGAAATCACTTGGTAAACGTAGCCAATATATTCCTAAAAGTTATGCGTACGTCTCTGCGGGTTTCGCCTCAAATTGAATTAAACGGGTGAATACGAAAGGAGGTTGGTGGCTTGCGCTCCATCATGAAAATGAAATAGGACTGTGGGAAATTAGAAATTAGGCTAATCGTCACGTTAACAACGGCGGTAATTGGCTCGAGTGTTTGCACTTAATTTTCGGGGGCGGAGCGGCCCGGCGTGAGGAGAGAGAGAGAGAGAAAGGGTGTGCTTCAAATTCATAATGCATGCGAACGGAACAAGAGCGAGTTGGCCGGCGTTAAACGCACGCAGCATCAGCCCTTCCGCGGTGCAGCTATTAAATTATAGCGAATTTGAATAAAGGGAGCCGCCAGTGGTGCCGCCGCCTCACAAACACATTCACAAACGTCACATGCAAATAATAGAATGGGGGCTTTGTTTTCAAAAGAAGCAGTTCCGTGGCCAGCGACTGAATGCAGCACACACAGAGAGGTCTCTCTCTCGCGTATATGCATGCTGGTGACAACGAGTCCGCAAGGAAACAAAGCACGCGCACAATAAGAATAAGTCAGCTGAATATGAAAGCGGCGCTGGCCAAACAAAACAAAAATTACAGCCAGAGAAAAAGCGGCCGCGGCACAAAGGTCTAATAAATGCCTTGCTCGGTGGCTGCCCAAATTTTTTTCTGCAATCAGCGCCCGGCTCCGAGGGCAAGCACACAATGCCGGACAGACAACCAAATAATAATGTTGCAAAGAACAATCTGCGCGCCGCCGCCGCCGCTCTTCTCATTTATTTTTTGTATTCAAAGCTGCAGCTCTCGCCGGGTGTGACAACTGGAAAGTGCCCGTCCGCTGTTTTATTTAAAAACTTGGCTCTTGCTGGCGTTTGCTATGGCCAAGTGTCATTCCGAGCTTTGAGTGAAAAGTAGTAAAACAACGAGTTGCTTCAAAATATGAATTTCCATCGAAAATACAGTG